AATCGTACTCAGAACAAGCTCTTAAGTATCGAATAAATTGGGAGACATAAACACCATAATGTTATGCAGGTGATAGCGGAATATTTCCACATAAATAAGGAAAGTTGACGATGGAAAAGCTGACGTAATCTCGTTTGTCATACAGTTTAGTTGTTATAAGTTGGCCTTTATCGTCTATAGTCAGTAAAACGTCCAAACATGAAACATATGTGGAAGAATTTGTGGCCTCTTTAGTCTTGTTGTGTATATTAATATAAGTCTACTTGCAAAAGTGTGGAGAAAAGGTGTATTGTGATACGACTCACCGGTTGGTCGGTCGGAACCTTTTGTGGTTAACCGATTGGCAATTCTATATTCATTTGCTATCCCTAGTTGTATAAGCAACATACTCTAAGTTCATGTCAAAGCATTTCATTTGCAATTCCAAGTTGCTTTAAATTCATGTCAAAGCATGTAACCAATCAAATACATTGTATGTGAAAGCATAACCTTAATCGGGATTTATTGATAAAAAGGATACTTTTTGTTTGTCTATCTTGTTCTTGGATATTAAGATTCTGATTGGTATAATTGTGCAGAAAGAGATGCAAAACTACCTGAAAATGTTTAAGTTGCAACTGCACGGATAATAACAGACTAGGGTAGATTCACAAAGGTCAATCGCATATAAAGGTCTTGTATGGGATACCTTAGAAATTGAAGTGAAGAAAAATATATAAACGAGTATTATATCATGAAATAGTCTATGGATTAGCTCCCCGGTATTTGCTTGACTTACTACAATCATGTTTTAATTTTATCCTCGAGGAAATAAGGATACGCATACATATCATCTTCGACAAGTCAAAAACTGTTTTCTCCCTTCAGCTATTGGATTGTGAAATATTTTCAAGTCATTCAACACTATCATCATTATTCAGGACTGTCCAAAACGGTAGAAATATTACATCTATGGAAGTCGTAAAGCAAATATACTCCCAGTATTGCATTTTTAAAATTAGGAAATAATGCGCATGATCTAAATGCTGATTAATTTCAGAAAGTCAAACTTGAGACATGAGTTGAAGTAGTTCTGAATCGGCATTTCTCCTTTTCATGAAGTGTCCAAAATATTGTACACAAAAACAAACACAAACATGTATAAAGTTCAAATAATTTGCAATTACCGTTGCCCTAAATATCATTAAAATTTATTTTGAATGGAAACAAAAATTTGGAGTACAACATAAATTTTGGGTATATATGTACATGTATATAGAATTGTAAAGAATTTATTCTGTCCATAGATTTGATTTTTTATTTAAATCTTCAAATCACAGAACTAACACTTATTATTTTTTAGTACTCTTGTCAGTCAGTTATAATTATGTAAATTGTAGATCAACCGAAAACAAATCATCATCACTATAGTCAAATTTCTTTGTCAAGAACTCAATGGGGCCGAGTAAAAACTTCTAATACCAGAGGATTGGAGATATTGGGGTTAAAATGTATAAAGAACAAGCAAATTCAAAGAATTGTGGTCCCCCGCTTTCGGTATCTTAGTGGATGGGATACCATTATATATAGCATGTTGTAACTGTCTTGTTAGTGTGTCCTGCCTTGTCTGTGCATTATACAAAATGACATAAATTAAGCTTTTCAAAACTACATCAAACTTCAAGATCAAGGTCATGGGGTCAAATATCATAATAAAATCCGAAATGTTTTGTCACAAGTAATGCACATGTAAAAAAAAAATATCAAAAACCAGAGTATACAATCGGAAAGGTCTTGAAACAGGTAATGCACATGTCAAATGTAATACCACCTCTTCTCTCAATAAAAAGTTATTAGCAATGCTCAGCTTTTAAAAAATTATGTCAAACTTCAAGGTCAACGTAATGGGATCAAAAATCATAGTACATTTGGAAATGCTTGTCACAGGTTATGCACGAGTCAAATAGAATCGAATGCCCTATCTTTGCTCATTCAAAAGTAAGCAACACTGATGAAATGTTTGAAAAGTGGTTCAAACTTGAAGGTCAAGCTCACGGGTTCAAATATCATAGCATATTCAGAAACATTTTGACACAGGAAATGCACTTGTCAAATATGAAAGCCCTATCATATGTCATTCAAATTAAATCACCAAAGTTAATTTTTTTTTAATTTAGGTCAAACATGAAGGCCAAGGTTAAAGGGTAAAAATTATAGCATAATTGGAAACACTTTGTCACTAGTAATGCACATTTCAAATATGAAAGCCCTATCTATTCTCAATCAAAAGTTATAAGCAAACATAAAAATTTTGTAAAAACTTCAAGGTCAAGGTCATGGGGTTAAAAACCATAGTATATTTGGAAAGGTCTTGTTACAGGTAATGTACATTTTTAATTTGAAAGCCCCACCTATTCTCATTCAAATTTTATGACCAATTTAAAGTAATATTAATTTTTTGAACAGTAGGCCAAACTTCAAGGTCAAGGTAAGGGTTCAAAAGTCATAGTAAATTTTCAAAAGCTCTTGTCACAGGTAATGTTCATGTCAAATATAAAAGCCCTATCTCTTCTCACTGAAAAGTTATAAGCAAAGATAAAATTTTGGAAAAGTAGGTCAAACTTCAAGGTCGAGGTCATGGGGTCAAAATTCGTAGTATATTTGAAAAGGTCTTGACACAGACAATATACAGGTATAATATGAAATCCCTACCTTATCTCATTCAAAAGTTATGACCAATTTAAAGTAATGGTAATTTTTTTTGAAAAGTAGGTCCAAACTTCAAGGTCACGGGGTCAAAAATCACAGTATATTTGGAAAGGTCTTGTTACAGGTAATGTACATGTGAAATTTGAAAGTCCAATCTCTTCTCACTCAAAAGTAATGGCCAAGGTTAAAGTTTTTGTGACAGACAGACGGACAGACTTCGCTTTCGCGAAAAGTGAATGGGAGTTCCATCTCACTTCAAAATATATATCCATCGTATTCGAGATACCGAAACTCGTTAAAATGTATCACCAAACTGATAATTAGGGCCCCGCTAATGCGGGAGCCCTATAGTGATCAGTCTGTCCGTCCGAGATCTCTTGTCCGGAGCATATCTTCTTTCTCCTTGGCCCAATCTGGCTCATACTTCACCCACCGAGTGTCTTTGGGTAAAGGGTGTGCAGTGACCTTGAACCATGTTTCTAGGTCTAAGGTTAAGGTCAAAGCAGAATTATATGAAAAATCCTTGTCCGGAGCATATCTTCTCTCCTTTTGGTCCAATACGGCTCATACTTCACTCACAGTGCCACTGGTCAATGAATGCGCAGTGACCTTGAACGAAGTTTCTAGGTCAAGGTCAAAAATAGCCTCTCTGTTTAAAATCTTTGTTCGGTGCATAATTTCTTTCCCTTAAGTCCAGTCAGCCTCAAACTTTACCAATTGACTTAGGGTACGGAACATTTGTGATTTTCCTTCCATATTTTGATAGAGGATATGCAACAATTTTCATAGAGGATATGCAACATTCGTGATTTTTGTTCCGGTTTTTTTGATAGAGGGTATGGAACACTTCTGATTTTCGTGCCACTTTTTATTATAACAAGGATGACAGAGAAGCCCTTTAGACTCAAACAACACATCCCTTAATAGTACACAAATGTTCCTCTTCAAAATAAACCCTTTTCAGCTACCTTACATTTTCATGTTCGTAGCTGAAAGCGGGGCCCTTTGAGATGGCCACCATCTCAATGATATCTAGTTCAGTCTAGTCACCGTAATTTTTTTATTAGTATTAAAACAAATTGTACACCATTATGTGACCAAATACATTGTTCCACCACTACTGAGGTCTTAAATGGGTGGTATCTGTTAAAGCAATATGAGCTGCATTTTTGAGAATTTTATTTTGCTATTAAAACGTGTTATTATGATAAATTTGTATGTAATTTAAACCTTTATGATGAATTAGACTAAAATAATGTATGAAAATGTTTCAGAAGAAAGACTTCTGTACAATCGAATACATAGTATTATATAAGAAATCAATATTATACAGGACGACAATATTGTAATTTTGCTTCAATCAAAGCTTATAAATAGTTCTTCCATTGCAAATATGAAAAACAGAAGATTATAAATGTTATTTTTCTCTCTCACTGAAATAGTTTATTACAATTTTGCAACAAAAATTTCCCACACCAAAGTTCCAGCTCATATTGCTTTAATAAATAAAATGTTTAAATAAAAAATGTCATCAAGGGCATGTATATAGTACTGGCCAAGGGTGTTATTAAATGGGATTTATGGATTTTGCTTTTTTACCATTAGAAATAAAGTTTAGTTTATATACAGTGTATGATAGAAAGTATATGTAGTAGTTTTCATATTGTCTCTATATACATGTAGATGCATTACATTTTGTGTTGCATTGATGTTTTCTTAAGGAATGTAACAAGCAGCTGGTAGCAATTCCTCCAAAATCTAAATTGTTGCATGAAACGAATGGGCCGATGTTGTGCATCGATTCACAGCTCACACTTTAGAAGATCGATAACGAATTCAATATTATTATTATATTATTTATTGTTGGAACATTTCTCTTCATGATGTTTATATGTATATTTTTCTTCAGTTTAGGGGTCTCTAAACTAAAAGACACAAAGGGGAAATATTCTGTTTATTTTATTCGTTAAATTTTGTCAGTTAAAAGAAACATGTGTCGTTTCATTGCAAAACGCAACACATAATAATGCATCGGGTTTCCTCCCACTAGATATCCATTGTAGCTTATCTCGAGACACGTACATGTAAAGCTGTCTTTTTTCTTCTATATTAAGACGAACTGTTTATCAATCTGTGTAGGTTTTTAAAAAGTCAACATCCTACTTCAAATCGATCTGTGTTAATTATACAGTTTCACATCTCGACCTCATTCGAAATAGTGTGTATAATATAAAACCCTGATACATTTGCAATAGATGCGTACAGTATGTACAAAGATTCATATATTAAAATAAATCAATCTTTGTAGCCTTTAGATCTTTTTCTCCATATGTTGCCGTTTTCTGTTAGTCTTAACCACGTGATCACATCTTTTTATCAAACATGTCACGTGATAGACAACCTTCCATCGATCCTTTCACTGTTTAGTATGAGTACATTAAGTTTGATAGCAGTTTCTCCGTTTGCCAGGTGAGAAACGCCCCTATCTCAGTTATATACCTCGATACGTGGACAGATAACTTGTGAACAGTGAAACCTTGCTGTCTGTATTCACCTGTCCGGATAGAGCTGATTTGTGAATTTCTGCAACTGCCTTTTATCAGGGACCGTTAAAACTACTGCCGAATAGTACATTGATAAAACTGATATATTACACGTATGTATTTACTTTTATGGTCATGATCGTCAAGGTGGCGGGTTTCTCATGGTGACTGGGTCTAGAGTTTGTCATAGAACTCTACAACATGCATGATTTGATAGCAGCAGTGATAGAAACTCAATCAACCGGCATGCATCTCTAATAATTTGTTATAGCAAATTAAAAGTCAAATTATTCCGAAATGCTAGTGAAATGTTCTTGACGATATTGAATAAATGTTTGTGAAAGCTTTCTGCTTTTTTGGAGTGGTGCATCACTTTTCTTAATTATGATTTTAAAATTAATGGAATCTCTATAAGTGTAATTCATCCTACTTCGACACATTGTATCAAGAAAAGCCTCAGCAGGTACATCATTGGCCATTCAGCAAATGATACTCATCTTTTTAGATTGATGTTTATCATTCTACCTGTCTCCCTTTTAAGACTATTGACCTATTCTGACGTCATCTACCTTTTCCCCCGATAAACCGCGTCACTCCATGTCATTTATTACTACATGTAATAACCTCACGATTTTTTTTTAATTGATATTTTAACATTGAATTCGTTGCTAAAAGTGATTAAGAAATGCCCTAAGAAAAACGCAATGCCGTCTTTCAAACATGGTCAGAATCAACTGCAGTAGGTGTTAGTTGGTCGACTTTTTAAGCTATTTCTTTGAATTTCTTGAAGATTTTTAAACTATAGATATGTTCGGACACTACATTGTATTTCACTCTTTCCTATTCATTTGATAAATCTGATATTCAGAAATCCTGACACTCTTGGAAATAAACTTAATATCGTGTTCATTTAACAAATGCATTATACACATGAAAGAGAGATAAAGTATAAAGACGTCACTTCACCCGATGTCGGAAAATTAATAAATGTATCGACGTTTAGGCAGATAAAATAATTGACGACAATGGATTCCAATATTGTGTTCCATGTCTGACTTTGTTATAAAGATGTCCAACCTAATTGCCACTCATTCGGGCAACCAAGAGACAAGTTCGCTTATTTGTCAAGTATTAGTGGGTTATTGTGATCAATTTTGATAAGTTTATGGGAAAAGTTGATTGCGAAAATAAAAATAAAATCTTTTACATACAAAAGTTTATTTTGACCCCGACGTTTTCATCCACATATAGCACACCCTTCCTCAGCCGTTTTCTCGTTAAGATTCACGTCACGTTTTTGCAAAAGCTGATGATTAATTTCCAACAATTTATGCTTGGTGAGTGAAACCATTATCACACAGATACGTTTTTCTTACCATGTGTATCACCTTGGACTTTCTTTTCAGGACATGGCAATAAGGGAAAAACATACTGGGACTCTCCATGAATTCTGGGGTTCATTTCTGTCTCGGTGATCAGTTTTGAAAACCGTAACACCTGTTTGAATAAAGACAATGATCCTTTTTTATTAACTTGTACATGATCTCTCTACAGAACTATCCTTTCAGCACTTTTCTCTTTGTCTCTTTCTATCATACCAAATTATACGGTACCATTTTTTACAGATTAAATTCTGGCACCCTCTCTATATTACTGAATCTTACTTAATCATGGACTACAAATACAATGTATAACTATTGTCATAAGCGTGAAGTTTAACAATAATATGTCTAACTTTGCAACTGAAAAAAAAAGACGTAAAGTGATCAATTTTCCAACCTAAATTAAAAAATTGTGTAAGATTTCAATATTTCAGTTAATGGTATGAAACAAACTTTATCGATAAACATTGGGGAAAAAAGATGAGAGAGACCGTCTTCCGCATATCATAATATCATATATCCTGTTTGAACTTCAATGATCAATGAAAATGAGTCACCTTTATTGCAGCAGCTGTGGGGACATGTGAATTTTTGATACGCTTGTAATGCAAACCATTATAAAATATTTCGAAGGATGAGAATTCAGCTCCGACTTGATTTAAATTTTCTGAATGTCTGTAATAGTTCTATTACGGTTTTCAGTTGACGACACAAATTATCTTAATAGATGAAACTTATTGTACACAAACAAATAAATAGGCTCTTAAACACACACAAACAGAACATAAATAAACCTACATCAAACGGAAATAAATCAATTTTAATATTTCGTTAACACAAACAATAATTAAATTGCTTGAAATGGAATAAATGAATTAAGATAAAACAATAAAATTCAATCATTTATCAGATTTTTTACAAATATAACTTAAAATCAATACTCTATCAAATTTAAACACATAGATCAATATTAATCATATTTATCAGTGCAAAACACTAAGTTCAGAAAATTCAATCAGAGATCACAGACAAATACAACTCACAAAACCCTGATCTTATCGGATTTGTAGTACCACCACTAATGGTATTCAGTATTCAAATAAATATGCAGCTATTATTAAGTACTCTTTTCTGTCGATGTCAGCAAAATCCAAAAGAATTCATACTAGATTTTTACAACACATAAAAACAAGAATGAATTCCGAACACTTCAATACTACTAAATCCTGTAAGATTTCACCTTTGACAAATAAATCCATCAACCAAAATGGAAACCAGTAGACAATGTATACCCTATATTACACTACGATTACATTCAACGATTTTAATCAATAAATTATATGTTTAAATAACTTATAGTATGGAATCCTGTTTGGTAATATCTAAAACTTTAGTTCTTAGTAATTGATTTATTTTAATTGTTTACTCCAAAATCAAAATACTTATAATCAATGCTATCACAGTTTCAATGCAAAAATGGTTTGATGGTCCAAAACGTCTTTCCACTTCCCATATTTATGATATTCCAGTATCTCCTGTATATAGTGTTTTAACCGAGAAGGCTACTGACAAATGAGGTGATATTACAGGGCTTTCAACTGTCTCGATTTTTCAAATTTTATGCTCATTATAATGACCTTAACTGCAAATACAATCTATCCTTTGGCCGAATTTTGGCTGAAATATTTCAAACCAATCATTAGACCATTATATTTATACTTATTTTGACTACGGCTAGATTACTTTACTTGATCAATACAGAGAGTTCGGGGCAGGTGTGAACAGTCGACAGGGGATGTTTATTCCTAGGCACCGGAGCCCACCTCTGGTGTTTCTAGGGGTGCGTGTTTTGCCCCTATTATTCTTATCAGAAGTCCAGAAATTCACAGTGGTCGGTGTAGTAGTATAATGAAAATAATTCAAATAGAAAACACGAAGAAAGCAACATTTTACCTATCAATACAATAACGTTTAGGGTACTTAAATATCGGTAATTTAGATAAAGGAAAGTGGATTTATTTTTGTATCTACGTACGAATCTCATAGTTGTTTTCCATTAACAAAAGTCAATAAAAAAGTCAATTGCATTGATTTTCATAGCTGAAGCAAGCACTTGTACAGACTGGGTAACGTACAAGTACATGTACCTTCACAGGATAAGTGGCATTTAGCATGGAATGAAAGCGCTTTACGCGTACCTATATTAGCTTGAAACTAGTACTGTTTAGCAAGCACAGTCGCGCCACAATTCCAACGCAAAGCTACAAACTCTCAGAAGTTTTGGATGTGCAATTGTGCTAGGGCTCATAATTATGGTCAGACTAGTCTTTTGCTTACAAAAAGTGCAAACTGAGATGATATTGAAACATCAATGATAATTGGTGTGTAAAATTACTTAAGATCGATAGATTTTTCAATCTTGTTTAATACTGATTTACTTAATCTGCGAAGGAGAAGAACTGAATATGGTAAATATTGAATTATTTCACTTAGATATTGTTGTACGCTTTTGGAAGTATATCTGGAAACTTGACTGCCTAATAATCAGATGACACTTAAGGCCAAAGAAGCTGTTGTTAAAACTTGTCATAATTTGTTACCCCTTCATTCCATGCATACCCCCACCTCTGCCTTGAAAACTTGCAATCAAATACGTGCATATGTGTGAGTTTCCTTTGAAGAAGTTGTGTCACACGTAGATATAAAATAAATGACTTGTGAAATATATATACATGCTTGTGTATCTGTATAGAAGCGTTGTAATGTGTACTAAATGTATTTAAAGAAATATACTCAGTAATTAAAATACACCTCGTGAATAATTATTGCTAACGTATGTAAAATGTTTGAATTTTTTCTACAGATTTTTTTTGCAAGATGAATATTTTGACATAATCTTGCTGTGACGTTATGAGCCAAGACTTTGATGCCGCCGACCAACTTTTTCAAATATGTGATCTAGATGGGTCTGGCTACGTTGATGAAGCAGAACTTGCACAGATTTGCAAAGAACTTCCTGCCGAAGATCTCCACGAAATATTTCTAGAACTCGATAAAGATCAAGATGGTCACATCAGTGTTGATGAATTCAGAAGAGGTTTCAAAGAGATTTACAACAATGTAAAGAAGCGTCGCCTTTCTAACAAGAATTCAGAGGAAGGCGTGACGCAGAATAGCTCGGTGGATGATGCAGTGTTTGATGATTTTGTGGGGTCCCTGGACGATGGGCTGAAGGCGTTATCATGGTAAGATAGTCTTTTTTGAAAATATATGTTATGATTTTTATAGGAGGAACGCCATTGTTCTTGATAACAAAACATTCAAATAAAAGCCCTATGCTGTCAATATATTATCAAATGTTTTATTTAAATTCCTTTAATAAATGTGTAAACATAATGAAAGAATGAAATCATTAATAAAGAAATGAATGAAAAACCCAAATAAGGAAAGAAACTAATTATCAATTTAAATAAATGATTATATGAATATTAAATGAATAAGAACAACTTATTTCCTGTAAGTCATAACAAATTGATTTTTGCATTTAGCTGGTTTCTATTTCAACTATGGGTTGATGTCTGTATTCTTCATTTGTCAGAGCCAATGAGAAATAACATGTTCACAAATTATAGGGTTACAATTTTCACATGATACATCAATTAGGTTTGCTATTTTTTAACGTACGTATTGGAATTCTGAAATTTAAAAAAAAAATCCACTTGGGATTTCTTGTATTGTCATGTTCAGTACGTTCGATATTTCTATTGATAATTTTTTTTCTGAAAAATAATAAGTATAATAGCAATAGCGTGTACATAAACAGAATTAACCTGATCTTGGATTAACGTGTTGAATGAAGTGTTGTCTACAATATCAGTCGCTCTGTTGATCCGCTTCGAGATGATCTCTTCATCTTTCCACCCACAAATCTTCTTTTCTTTCATAAGAAGATTTTGTCAGCTAATGCTTAAGGGTATGATTTGCTGTTCGATACCATTCATTACTGATAACAATCCAGAAGTATCCGTGTCAATGACAGTTAGGTCTGTAATTAATAGATATAATCTACTACAACTAGTTCTTCATTGTACGTTTCCAATTTCTATTTGCTAGAGGGACAACCAAGGTACTTTTATGTAGAGAACTATGAATTCTGTTTATATTTATATGTTCTTATAAGTAACATTTCAGTGGATCTATAATTCATATACTTACATGTATTTTACTTATTGTAATCACGGAAGACTACATTATGAATTGCTAAAATTAACATCAGAAAAAACATAGACGTTTTCCCAAATAACGTGATATATTTCACAAACAGGGAGAGGGCTAAAATAGGCTGAGGCTGCTGCCCAATCCCACTCACTTCTGTGCATAAAATATTGTTAAAGAAAAAAAAATCACAACCGGATTGTTGTTAATAACCAAACTTTTGTAAATTCTTAGAGTTCATTATGGAGGATGAAAAATACTTGAATTCATATATATAAAGCCTTATTATACCCTTCGCTTGAAAAGTGGGGTTATATAGTGATGGGGGTGTTCGTCCGTAGGACCTTCCGTCGTCCGCACGTCCTGTAACACTTGGGGATACCCATCTCTTTTCCGCAACTTCTCTTATATCACTGAATAAAATTTTATGAAACTTTCACTGAATCTTTATTACATTGTGCCATTGTGCACCTCTATTTTTTTTTAAATTATATGGGGTTTCCCATAACAAAACATGGACACTGCCATTCTTTCTATATATTGGGGGGTACCCATCTTTTATCCGCATTTCCTCCTCTCCTATACTACTGAATAAAATTTGAAGAAACTCTCATAGAATGTTTATTACATAGTGTCATTGAGCACCTCCTATTTTACATTACGATCGGACAGATAGTTGGGGTTTCCCATAGAAAACACGGACTTTGCAAATATACTCATGGGAGCGGGGGAGGGGATCATTTTGTGAGCTCAGTGCTCACAGTACCTACAGATCCATTCAAGTTCACAATGTCAAGTAAAATAGATGGTCAGCAGGTTTCAACATACCTATATCATTCACTACGACAAATCACTAACAAATTATTCTACTATTTATCTTAAAAGTTCATTACAATAAAAAGGACTTGACATTTGTTTGTATTTCCCATAAAAATTCAACTGACATCCAAAACTCCCAGCTTTGTGATTGAAGGAGTTTAAGTAATAGCACCAATAACAGAAGTGCTATTGTAGAGTAAATCTCTAATTGGCCGGATCAAAACTACCTATTATCGTCGCTGAACTTTTTAAATAAGTTTTGTCAACTTTTTAAATTTCATAAAGCGCGTAAGGAGGATTTGTCAGGACATATGTTTATTTAAGTTGACCGTTACACAAAGGCCAATCTTAACGTACAGTATTGGGGGATAAATATAACATGTAATGACTTTTTCAGTGTTTAAGCACATCGGATCTGTTCCCGATTTACTCAATCTGACTTTTTAGAATTTTTTAAATTTTAAGAAGCCCTGAGCAAGTAAAAGGCAATTCAAGTTGAGTCATTTTGCAAGACTGATCCAAATTAAGTGCAGACGCTAACAGATTATAGTCTGCACAAGCAAGTGTTAAAAGTTTGTTTAATTACTCAAGCAATTAGCAAATCTGTCATCCGTGTTTCCACCCGTCGATTAAGTATTACTCGTGTCAAACATCAGTTTAGGATCCTTGTTACGGTAAAAAAAGAAAAGTACCGAAGCATGGTGACAAACAGTGGTGTACCTATGTTTCCTCACCTGTTGAAAAGTTCGGCAATTTAATATTTACCTACGTGGCAAAGGAATAATGACTCCCACATGTTAAACAGTTCGACAGGTTAAAACGATTTTATCATCATAAACGTCCAAAGACACTCGATTCTTGCCTAGGTCCGGGTTTCATCCGTTTTGCTGGACGCCAAAGGATAAATTTGAAATACACCTTTAATGACAGTGCGATATTTTTTTTTTTACCTGTATGTAAATATTTAGCTATGTGGTAGCGGACTGTGATGATCTTTAATGAACTAATAATGGTTCTGTTGGATGAGATAAGGTTAAGATCCTAAGTATATTGAAGATCGAAGTAACAAATATGAGAGATGCATCTATAGACTGGATTTTGACTTCACTGAATATCGAAGAAAGAGAATTTGGAGCAGAGGACGAAAATTCAACGAGGAATATTATGTACAAATCCAAATGAGACTGAGGATTTAAAAATATCTTCAAAGACACTGAGATTTAAAGAGTTAATAATTAAAAGAATTTCAGATTTAAGTAAGCCGGCCGTAATGCTCCAAATGTCTAGTGATTTTACAGCGTACGGACTGGACGGCAACGAATCTTATACCCGGGAATCCTTCCACGAAATCGCCGAAAAAATGAACTTATCAAGCGAGGAGCTGGATATTATATTTACCGCAGTAGACACGGACGGAGATGGGATAATTAGCAAAAAAGACCTAATTTGTGAATCTCCTAGCACGAACAGCACACCAACTCACCGCATGGCTGATATGTCCGGAAAATTTAGACATCCTTTTAAGAACCTTGCATCGGATTTTAGTTTTTTGTCGACTGAATGGTTGGTTTCTTTCATTGAAAATATCTCTTTTAACATGCGTCTAATCTGTATCAGTAGATTGGCAATAACATCCTATTTTTTTCCTTCAAAATTGAAGTGTTATTTACATTTATTATAAAAAAAAAAAAAAAAAAAAAAAAAAAACAATGAATATAATTGCACAAAGCTTAATGCATTACAAGTAACTGTTTCAATAGGACGAATGCACTTGGTAGCATTGCTTATGATTATATCATGTTTTACATTTTTAATACATTGGATGTAGATAAAACATGATAATTGTAATTCAAGTACTTGCAATGTTGTGCAAATAATTAATGCAGTTTAAAATAGACTTTGTTCTCAATTGAAAAGGTATATGATCTGAAACTCACGAATTTAGAAAAAAATGAATGAATTAAATAAAAAGAAATAAATTTAAAAACACACCCAGTGACATATTAAATTATGTAGCATGATTTCTTATAAAGGGATTATTGTGCTTTAAGCGTTAAATCACATTAATTCACCAACAAGAGTCACGGATAAATAAGGTTATATGAACCTTCAGTGAACATCGTAATACGCTTTTAGTAGAATGAAATTTATACCAGTGCAGTTAAGGTCAAATATTGTATAAAAAGTATTTTTTTTACTACATGTTAATAATAAAAAAAAAAAAGAAACATGAACATTAAACCAAAATCTCCATATTCACTCTCCAATAGTGTGTACGATTTTTAGGCAAGTGAAATTCCATTTATTATGATAAATATTCATGAAACAAGACAGAAAGATTTCTCTTGAAACGCTTTCTGACCAAGGAAAACACTTTTAACACACTTAGCAGATGCTATCTGTATGAAAAAATGTTTTAAGAATCAGTATTGCTCTCCAATATTTCAGCCAAGAGCAGGTTTGTGAGCTGTACCAACAACTTCATGCGTCGGATAACTCAGACCTGCTACAGAACTTTGAATCCATTATCCTCGGCGTGCTTAAAGACGTCCGATTCTACCAGGTGGAAAATGAACGACTTGAGAAGTCCTTCAAAAGGTGACTTTGACTTTGACATATTGTGAGAATAGACCAACTCTTTCATACTATTTTTTAGTATTTGACCGAAAAACGAAATTTTGTCGAAGTCGTCCAAAGTCATTTCATGCGCAACTATCATTATACTTTTTTCAATATTGTATATGATTTGATTGGCAGAATTTGTAAATCAGGCTGTTTTTCATCAATGATCACAACTTCATATACCAATACGACTCTCAAAAGAACATCTTCATTGAATGCAAAATTTCATGAATTCTGTTTGGTCTTTTAAGAACAATGAGTACTCTGAATTCTCTGATTCCTATTTTTCTTTACCCGCAACAGGTGCTAGTGTGATGTCCTGTTGATTTCTATTGGGATTTTGATATATTTTACATTTGAAAACAAAGATTGAATTTGTGAAAACGGAATGGTAAAACACTGACCGAAAAGGCAATATCTTCCCTCAACCCAAAATGAAAGATTTTACTTCGCAGTTCATTGATTAGGCATGTGGTTTAACCTTCCGAGGCCTTGGGATATTTTTGTTTTTAGTACCCAAATTCTGAATCTTTGGAAAAATACTTTCACACAAAATTAAGTAATAAAACTGAAACAAATCAAAGGGTCATTAAAGGCAGCCAAGTTTCAATCCTGCAAAGTAAATCATATCTTTAAATTTAAACTAAATTTCTATGTCTAATCCTAACCCATGTTTATATTTACAGAGAAAAAGAGCAACATGAAAGACATCTTCGAGAATTGGAAGATGAAATGGACAAAGAGATTCAGAAATTGGAGGAGGCTTTCAAAGCAAAGGTAAAGACCCCCCTCCCTAAATAAATCAATTCAAAGTTAGAGAATGAGTTCAAAGTTTGAAAAAAAAATCATCATTGAGCTATATTAAACTCGTAAATAAGACGGGGGCCCTCAGTGTGTCAAACGTAAGGACAATGTTTCCCTCCACGAAGATATTTTATTCTTTTGGTTGTTATTTATGACTTAAGACCAGAGACAAATGACTGCACTAACTACAAGTATGGTACCAGAGACAAATGACTACACTAACTACAAGTATGGTACCAGAGACAAATGACTGCACTAACTACAAGTATGGTACCAGAGACAAATGACCGCACTAACTACAAGTATGGTACCAGAGACAAATGACCGCACTAACTACAAGTATGGTACCAGAGACAAATGACTACACTAACTACAAGTATGGTACCAGAGACAAATGACTGCACTAACTACAAGTATGGTACCAGAGTAGTTAGTATGGTACCAGAGACAAATGACCGCACTAACTACAAGTATGGTACCAGAGACAAATGACTACACTAACTACAAGTATGGTACCAAAGACAAATGACTGCACTAACTACAAGTATGGTACCAGAGACAAATAAATGACCGCACTAACTACAAGTATGGTACCAGAGACAAATGACTGCACTAACTACAAGTATGGTACCAGAGACAAATGACCGCACTAACTACAAGTATGGTACCAGAGACAAATGACTGCACTAACTACAAGTATGGTACCAGAGACAAATGACTGCACTAACTACAAGTATGGTACCAGAGACAAATGACCGCACTAACTACAAGTATGGTACCAGAAACAAATGACCGCACTAACTACAAGTATGGTACCAGAGACAAATGACCGCACTAACTACAAGTATGGTACCAGAGACAAATGACCGCACTAACTACAAGTATGGTACCAGAGACAAATGACTACACTAACTACAAGTATGATACCAGAGACAAATGACTGCACTAACTACAAGTATGGTACCAGAGTAGTTAGTATGGTACCAGAGACAAATGACTGCACTAACTACAAGTATGGTACCAGAGACAAATGACTACACTAACTACAAGTATGGTACCAGAGACAAATGACTGCACTAACTACAAGTATGGTACCAGAGACAAATAAATGACCGCACTAACTACATGTATGGTACCAGAGACAAATGACCGCACTAACTACAAGTATGGTACCAGAGACAAATGACTGCACTAACTACAAGTATGGTACCAGAGACAAATGACCGCACTAACTACAAGTATGGTACCAGAGACAAATGACCGCACTAACTACAAGTATGGTACCAGAAACAAATGACCGCACTAACTACAAGTATGGTACCAGAGACAAATGACCGCACTAACTACAAGTATGGTACCAGAGACAAATGACTGCACTAACTACAAGTATGGTACCAGAGACAACTAACTACAAGTATGGTACCAGAGACAAATGACTGCACTAACTACAAGTATGGTACCAGAGACAAATGACCGCACTAACTACAAGTATGGTACCAGAGACAAATGACCGCACTAACTACAAGTATGGTACCAGAGACAAATGACCTCACTAACTACAAGTATGGTACCAGAGACAAATGACCGCACTAACTACAAGTATGATACCAGAGACAAATGACTACACAAACTACAAGTATGGTACCAGAGACAAATGACCGCACTAACTACAAGTATGGTACCAGAGTAGTTAGTATGGTACCAGAGACAAATGACTGCACTAACTACAAGTATGGTACCAGAGACAAATGACCGCACTAACTACAAGTATGGTACCAGAGACAAATGACCGCACTAACTACAAGTATGGTACCAGAGACAAATGACCGCACTAACTACAAGTATGGTACCAGAGACAAACGACTGCACTAACTACAAGTATGGTACCAGAGACAAATGACCGCACTAACTACAAGTATGGTACCAGAGACAAATGACTGAACTAACTACAAGTATGGTACCAGAGACAAATGACTGCACTATCTACAAGTATGGTAGCCGTTAATAAGGACATACTACAGAGTCCTTTTATATTTTGGCAAGGTTAATGGAAATGGCCTTTATCTGTGGAGAATTTTCAAAAATTGCAATCATTCAATTATTAGAATGGAGGTCTTCTGCAATACATAGGTTAATTGATATAAAGAAAATCTGTGTTGCAAGTATTATGACCGCGTACACAATAACACTGAAATCTCAAGTATAGTATTTGGATACTTTTTTCGGTTAAGACACTAGAAAGTCAACGACCATGTAACGCCCACGGATTTCCTCTCAACAACGTTTGATTATTTACATTTTATAAAGCCCCATGAGCAAAAAATAAGTATTAACGCCATAGGTTGATCGATGCGCTGGAAACATTGTGCTCAAAGTAATTGTTTAATACTGTTGATGTTCTGGAGCACACAATGTAACATTTAAACAGCAGCATGGCAACAGATTTCGTGTGAATCATATAACCTTATATTTCTAAACCTATTAGATCGAGAGAAAAAAAGAGACAGAAATGCGTGTATGCATTAAATTCTTTGAAAATTGATTTTTGGCGAGCGAGGAAAACGTAGTCTCTGCTGTTTACTTAATATGTTAAAACTTCTTTCTTAATCTTTGAATTGAGTACAAAAGATTGTTTATCTTTACTTTGTATGAAAAATAATTTATGAACAAGATTGAAACACTTAAAGCTTATACTTCTTAATTAAACTATTCTGTCTTTTTGAAATCAGTTTTCACTTTTTGAAAACAAATGATAACGTTGAATATTGTTACACCAATATTACACCTATGGATTTTTAAATTACATTTATTGGAAGCTCTGTATTTCAGACTTCAATGAACATGTCGCTTATAAAATGTAGAAGATTCAACGAATGATAGCTAAATTGATTTTTAATATAGTGTATGTTAAAAAAAAGTAATTATATGTAGTCAAAATTTTCCCCAAATATATTTATAATATTGTACTCATTTGTTCATGCAATACATTATCGGTTGAGTTGTTTTATATCAGAACGTAAAAGAAGACATTCGTACTGAATTTACATTTATAAATTACATGCATATGATAAAATTTAAAAAAAGTATCTTTTGTGCAACTTAAACTTCAATAATGATTTTCACAAACTTTCCCCATGTTGTTCACTAAAATTTTAATTTTTTTTGCCACCTTGAATCTTTCACAAAATTGCCATCTTATTAAATAATAATAACTTGATTTAATTGGGCCTACGGTATACAATCTTCAATAGGATTACGGCTAACATTAAAATTCTTTGCCAGGCTGATGCTGTTTTTAAAAAAAGTCGCAAATGCAAAGTATCTAAGTTAGAATAAAATGACCAAAACCAGATAACACCATGTAATTTGATTGGTAATAAAGTTGTTTTTAAATTTAAAGTTTACGAAGTAGGAAATAATTGCATATAGTTTTCTATAGTTACTGCATAGTTATATATAGTTTTCTATAGTTGCTTAATATTTACAACTAGTCTGCGATATGCTTTACAGGAAGAAGAAAGAATTGCCACCGAAAAAGCGGAGCTCAGGAAAGAGGTGGAAAATGAGATAAACACACTACAACAAAATCTCACAAAATTACAACAGGTAGTGTAAAAAACAAAACTAACACTAAAGACTACAACAAAATCTTACAAAAATTACAAAAGGTACTCTACAATGCAAGGCTAATACTGTAGACTACAACGAAATCTTACAAAATTACAATAGGTACTCTAAAATACAAGGCTAATACTAAAGACTACAAAAAATCTTCAAGTACTCTAAAATACAAGACTAATACTGTAGACTTCAACGAAATCTTACAAAATTACAACAGGTACTCTAAAATACAAGGCTAATACTAAAGACTACAAAAAATCTTCAAGTACTCTAAAACACAAGACTAATACTGTAGACTACAACGAAATCTTACAAAATTACAACAGGTACTCTAAAATACAAGGCTAATACTGTAGACTACAACGAAATCTTACAAAATTACAACAGGTACTCTAAAATACAAGACTAATACTGTACACTACAACGAAATCTTACAAAATTACAATAGGCACTCTAAAATACAAGACTAATACTATTAAAGACAACAAAAAATCTTACAAAATTACAACAGGTAGTCTAAAATACAAGACTTATACTGTAGACTACAACGAAATCTTACAAAATTACAACAGGTACTCTAAAATACAAGACTAATACTGTAGACTACAACGAAATCTTACAAAATTACAACAGGTACTCTAAAATACAAGACTAATACTGTACACTACAACGAAATCTTACAAAATTACAATAGGCACTCTAAAATACAAGACTAATACTATTAAAGACAACAAAAAATCTTACAAAATTACAACAGGTAGTCTAAAATACAAGACTTATACTGTAGACTACAACGAAATCTTACAAAATTACAATAGGTACTCTAAAATACAAGACTAATACTATTAAAGACAACAAAAAATCTTACAAAATTACAACAGGTAGTCTAAAATACAAGACTTATACTGTAGACTACAACGAAATCTTACAAAATTACAATAGGTACTCTGAAATTAAAGACTTAATATATACTATTAAAGACAACAAAAAATCTTACAAAATTACAACAGGTACTCTAAAAAAAAAGACACAAGATTAACACGATACAGGAAATTAACACAAAATTACAACAGTTACTTTTTCTGTATGTGTAGAATAATAAATACATTCGTTTTATTTAAGGACAAATCTGATCCGAGAGGTTCCGAGTTAGAGGAACAAGTAAATAATGTTAAAATAAAACTGGACGAATTAACATCGGAAAATAGAAGACTTCGCAGTGAACTGACAGACGCACATACAAATCTGGCTTTGGTCAGAAGTGAACTGGCAACAGTCAGGCAGCAACATAAGGACAAATGCCAAGAGCTGACAATGTAAGTACCCCTGCCATGAGCGTAGTGATTATAGGCAAATGGTAAATAAAATACATCTGCATCTGTATACTATTGAAAGTGAATAAAATGAAAGAAGGAGGGGAGTTAAGAATACAGTTTCTCTTCTATGTGTTTTTTTTATATTTACCTTTAAGCTGGTCCTCTTTCTTTTCAAGTTGTTATAACAAGCATCGTCCTCTGTGATAAATGACGTCTTTTTTACTGAATCTATAAATTACAATAACATTTTTAAAACTTTTTTTCAGGGAGAAGGAAACAGTAATGGACTACATCAAGGAACAAGACAATTTAACACGACAGCTTCATCTATTACAGTAGGTTTTTTTCTTATTATACTTAAAGGATGAATGGGTATAGGGACAACATTAGGTATTATTTTTGAATTATTTTTATTTCTAGTGACGCCAATAAACAACTTCATGACACCAATGATGATCTCAGACTTGCCATCGAAAGCAGACGACAGAGTCAAAGAACATCTGTTGCTGTAAGCCTAAAATCATTGAAAATGTCAGGCATAACCGATTAAGAAAATACATATAATATTAATCGCTTCTACATGTAATTACCATTTACCCAGCATTTGATTGTTTTTCTATCTAGAGTGCTTCCAGCTCGACTCCGAACACCTTTGGAAAAGACAGACGAGGATCTGTAATGAGTGAATACTTCCTCGGGAACCGATCAGGACCGCCATCGTGAGTTCTTGTCGTCAGCCCACTGACGGAAGTGTACTGAACATCTAAAATGTTAATCAACTCACAATTGTATATGTAAAGAGCTGTCAGGATTTCTGTGTATTTTTAGGGTAAGATCCTGTAATCTAAGTCCTGCATCATCAGTTATTGAAGAACCCATATCGAGACAACTCTCCGTCAATAACTACTCACCACGACGTCTTCCCGCCAGGTTGCCTAGAGACGACACGTGCGAAGAGGATAACCTTGGCGATGACATGGGTTAGTACATAGTAACCCCTTATAAAACCCTTAATGTCATTAACACTCATTGTTGTAATTATTTACCTATTTCTTCCTAATTTTTTGGAAAATGGAGAGCATTTAAATGATAGAGGGATGTTCATGAATTTATTTCTGGAGAATAAAGGGATTCATGTATTGTTTGTTAATTTTTAGAAACCAGATCTAAAACAAAGGATCAAATGTAAATTTTGATACCAAAGCAACATATTAAAATTCTTCAAAGGCTTCTGTATTGTAGCTTTCATGTTGTTCACTTTTCTTCTAGTTGTTCGCCTATCCACAGCTTTTTACCTTGTATATCCAGAACACATGGGTAACGGTTCATCTGTGTCACGTGCTTTCTATAACGATCACGTGGTTTTTCACAAATATTCACCCTCTAACAATTTTTTCAAACTTATTCAATATCCCATAAACTCCATGTTACTTCACAATAGTATAATATGATTAAGGCAATTGTGCTTGTTTACGTGTGTAGTTACAGTACAACCATATTCTTTGGCACCCTTCCTTTTCCTCGTTTGCCAAGACATTTTTTGAGTCATAGATGAACTGATTATTCAAAGTTTGTATTAGAATTTACGTAAATGATACTGATAACTGTATTCTGAAGGTATAAATGTTGCTGTTAAACTGAACACTTACCCTGATCTGTATGTTGTACAGACAGTGGACATTCTACACTGAGAGAACACAATGACTTAGACACAGAGTCCGAGGCACACTATGATGATGACCTATATAGACATCGTATGTTCACACCAAAGATACAGCCCAACAGACTCATAGAGGAAACAGATGTACGTTTTTATGGAACAAAAATTGAAAAAAGGAGATACAAATTTTTTTCACTGATTTGTTTTTTAACGAAGAAAATATGCAAAATGCGTTTATAATCACCAAAACAATTTGCATTTTTGTTTTCAATTAACAAAGGAACCCGAATCTCACGACGAAACCGAAGCAGAGTCTATTGTCCCAAATGACAGTCGATCACTCCAGTTACAAACTCGACTTGGAACTCCAAGTATCAGGTCTTCCCGCGCAAGTCTCAGGTCTCGAGAGAGCAGGAATAATCGTCTGCGCCGCATGACAACAAGCCAGGAGGTGAAGTTTTGAACAAAAATTAACTAACAGAAAATATACTTATGTTATACGTCTGCAATACATATGTTTAATTCCTCTTTTCAGTCTATTGGTTCTTCTAAAACCTCTCGTGACCCAGAGAGAATGTATAAAATAGTTTTAGCAGGTGATGCTGCAGTCGGCAAATCTAGCTTCATCATGAGGCTCTGCAAAGGAAAATTTGTACCAAACCTCAGCTCCACACTAGGTAATCTTAAAGAATCCTCCAAAAAGCTCGCAAAATACAAATAAATAAATAAATAAGTTAATTAATAAAGATAATCTTATAAAAAAAATAATAGCATGATTATTTTTTGTATTCTAGGGGTTGACTTTCAAACAAAGTTATTGGAAGTTGATGGAAGAACTATTGCTTTGCAACTATGGGATACAGCGGGTCAAGAGAGGTAACTCTATCTACAACCAAGAATACAGAAAACATGACAACAAGGCAAAACCAAAAACAAAAACACACAAAAAAAACCATACAAACAAATAAAACCAAAATTAAAAAAAAAAATTCTATTTAGTTTATACAACTACAATCATTTTTTTCTGTTTTTATAATGTTACCATATCCTTATTTTTTCTAGGTTTAGAAGTATAGCCAAGTCGTACTTCAGAAGGGCGGATGGAGTACTACTGTTATATGATTGTTCCTATGAAAGATCATTTATGAGTGTCAGAGAATGGGTAGACTCAATTGAGGTATGACTTCTATGATTACTGAGATGAGAATCTATTCAGTTTCTATGCAAAAATAGGTGATGGTGTATTTATTCCATATAATTCTGGATTTTAGAGAGAGAAAAAAAAATCTTTTGATAAAAAAATATACATGTAAAATCCATGATGGTACAAATTACCAATATTTGAGTAACAATTCATTCATTTAACACTTTTACAGGAGGGTGCTCAAAAGAAGGTGCCGATCATGTTGTGTGGAAATAAAACTGATCTGAGAGACGAATCTGAAAAACAGGGAAGAAAAGTAGTCAAGTTTGAAGATGGGCAGAGATTAGCGAGGGTATATAAGTTCCTGGATGGTCATATACTAGGGTTGTCTATAAACTTCGTAGACAAATGCTTAAATTTTCTTTATAATGACCGCAGTGCCTAATTTGTACGATATTATTTTGCATGATTTAGTAAATGTTTTACTGATGTTAAGCGAGTTTCATGATAATAACGTCCAAAATATGGATTTTGAATTTTTATCATATATATATATATATATATATATATATATATATATATATATATATATATATATATATATATATATAAGCATTGAATCATTATTTTTTGAAAGATATAGTCTCATAACTGCAACGGTGTGTGCAAACAAATTGAGTACCACGCATTAGCGCGTTATGAAAATTTGTTTGCACACACTGTTGCAGTTATGAGACTATATATTTCAAAAAATAATGATGTAATGCTTATATTTACATTTTTTTAACACCTTGTCTTGACTGCAAATGTGATTTATATTTCAAAATCCTTGTATTATCCTTCGGGTAAGTTATAATTAATGGAAGAGCCGTTGCAACAGCTTTTGTTCAATGTGAGCATAAATTTTGATTTTCGTTTATGACGTTGCACTTCCACGGTGTTCAACGTTTGTTACGTCAAAATAAAACGCATACTTAAACCTTTTGACTCCCTGTCCGTGTTATGGTGTTTTGAATGCCGTAGATTTCCTCACACTTTAGAAGCAAAATACATGTTGAATGTAAATATATAATTATATAAGTGAACACTCGCTATTTTTTCTTTAATATGCTGCAATGCTAAGTGTGTGCGATACTATTTATATAAAGACCATGATGGTGAGTAATTATTTTTAAAATTCAGAACAATATACGATAATTTACGAGCGTCATAAGTATAAACACTACATATACACAGGTGCACAATCCAGTCCTACGTTTCGCTAGATTTATAAAACGTCGTGAATTGAGGTATCCTATTTTCATCATATAATAGTAGTTTTCGGGTTCTTGTAGTGTCTCTCAAATGGTTCACACCAGTGAAAAATCAATTATACTAATTTCAAATCAAGAAACTAGATAAATTCTAATAATTTCCAGTTGTTTGAATAATAAGTTTGTTTCTGACGTCGTTTCAACCATATCGAACATAATTTTATGATTGGACGCTGAACCATTTGGATGACCGACGTCGTTTTTTCTGTCGATTTTTGAAACATATTTCTGACCTTTTTTTGTTTTTTATATTTTCACTATCTGTCCAAGATATCAAAAAATGATGACAACCGCTTTATTTAATGCACATTTAATTTTTATTTAGTTTAGGCTTGTTTTATGAAGAAAATAATCATTTTAATCCAAAACTTTATATTTAAAAGTTTATAACGTTTTAACCCTTGCCTCGCGCACTGTCTGCGACCTTTAAAGACTTCAATTTTTTACACAAAAACTATTCTGACTTGGATTATCATAACAAATATTTTGGTATACAATAAGTATATCTAGGACCATTCATTTTGACAAAAACGCCTTTGTCCAAGAGCTTTATGGATAACCCTCGTACACCCTGTTTTCTTACAGTAAAACTTGGTTATACGGAAATCACTGGGATTTGGAGATTAGCTTTCTTATATCGGAAATTCTTTAAATCTGTATAAGAAACATAGTGAAAAGCCTTCAATGGGATTCATAAGTTTCCTTATTACCCAGATTTCCTTCTAATTCTTTATAACCATTACTGATTTATGATATACATGGCATAATAATTTTATTGATTAAGATATTGATCATACTCTGATTTTCAGGAATTTGAGGGGCTTTTCATTGAAACTAGTGCAAAAGATGGATCAAATATTGTGGATGCCGTAACAGAACTTTCGAGGTAAAGATATTTTATTTTTGCTTTAGTTTGCATGCTTTTGTTTTTCATTTCATTGGTTCCCTTGGATTTCTTTTTTACACCTTTAGACACATGTATCAGTATATAGCTGTAAAACCGAGTCGGCATATTTACATAGCTTTGTTTAGCAAAAAATTATTCCAACATTTTACATACTTGTACATTTAATTTTCATTTTCCTATGTATTTTTCCCATTAACTTACTTGATATTTTTGTCCTTTACCTATTCTTGTTTTAGAATTGGTTGTTTTTGCTTTATTATTTTTTTTATCCCCTGTGTGGCCCCTTGCTTGTTTAATGTATTTTGTATGCATGCTTGTCCCCTTTTTCTTACTTCCCACCAAAATCTGCTTTTTCAGACTTCTCATGGCAAGCGAGGATTTTGAACTTGTGACCTCTGGGCTCCAACTAAAGACAAACTCTACAAAGACAAAGTCAACCTCTTGTTGTGGTTCTTAGATAAAACACATGCATAGACAACCCGATGGTAAAGAGATCATTCTATGCACAGTCCATGACGGAATCGTTCTGCTTTTTTACACCTTGTCATTTTTTAACCATTTCAGACTTCTCAGCTCTAACGAAGATTTAGAAGTGAAAGCCTCGGGGCTTCAACTGCATGACCCAAACTATGATCCCAGTAAACAAACGAACTGTTGTGGGAGATCGTCTTGAATTGTTAAACTTCATATCTCTGTTGGGATGTCTTGTATTAGATCTTGGGAATAAGGAATTTTTTGAAATTTTTTGCAGACTATTAGCATCGAATGAAGATTTAGAAGTTAAAACGTCTGGCCTTCAGCTACATAGTGGTAATGTGAAGGAAAAATCTTCATGCTGTGGATCTTAATGTGAACGATAATTACTTCCATGTACATATATTTCTTCTTTTTGGTCATTCAAGGTTCATGCACTGCAATTAAGCTTATATTTGTTATAATATACCTAATGTAAAGGGGCAACGCTTTTATACTACATTAATTATATTAAAATGAACCATAACAAACCCACTAAGTCTCAGTTTCACATCGTATTTGTAGAAAGAATTTTATCTTTTTTCTCTCTCATATTTTTGCATTTGTTAGAAATTTTGTTATATTTCATGTACCAATTCATAATGTAGTGTAATAGTGCAATAACAACATTTATAAATACTTTATGCGCACTCATTCAGTTCGCGGAAGAATTAATGTTGTGATTGCGTGAAATGTAGTGTTCGCTTTCGACATTTCATGCATTCCAACAGCACACACTGACTATAGTATGTATTGTAGAATAGATTTAGCATATAATTTGTATTATTTTTATTGTTGAAGGCATTTGTTTTCAAATTTTGGACATTTATGTCTCATTTTAAAATGATTCAAACGAATGATAATTTACAATTGAATACTTATGTAGCATATCATAATTTATACAATATATTATAATAATTCTCCATCTCGGAATGATACTTGCTATCTAGTCTTATTTATTGTTATATGCTGGTAATTACTTGTTAAAGAATACACAGCTTTTGTTATTTTTTTTTTTTAAATAAAATTTTCGAAATACAAGTTATTTGTTTACTTGACTGATTATAACAATTGTTTTAGAAGTATATTTTAGATATCGTATAGCATAACTCAAAATCGAAAAAAAAATGGGGGGGGGGGTTCATGTGCATATTACTGAAATGTCTAGTAACTGTTTTGTTAATCACCTCAACCTCAACCATATTTTACAAGATGTACTCATAGTTGTAATCTTAGCAAAGTAGTTTAATAAAATATATGCTCGATGAAATCAGTACATACGAAGGGGAAAAGTAGCATTGAAACTTGTCTGAATTCATCGTATCTTGAACAGTCCTGTAGATTAAGATTTCTAAATCACATCTCTCCAAAGGACAGTATCTCTACCCCCTCTTTTAGGATCAATGGCCCAAATGAAAATGTAAGAATTCACCATTGTGTAATCCCTAAATAAGATGAAAATTTCCTGGGTGTAGTTACATGTAGTCTGGCACTATTTTTTTTTTTGGTCTCATAAAGATGTAGCTGCATATCTGTAGCTCGCTGGTCTGAAAAATTGGAGTGAACGACCAGAGAGCTTCAGTGTCACCCATTGAAAAAAGTGTATTTTTATTGCATAGAAAAAATACGCCTTTTCTCGATTTATTTCTCTGTATATATATCAAACTATTACTAACCGTGTGTTCCCTAACATAATCATTTACAACTTCTATGACAAAACTGCATGTACAAGACATGTACGAAGTTCGTTGGACTGAATTGTCTTGCCACCCAAAATGGCAAGATAAATAGGCGAAATTTTCGATGGTCTCAATTTCAGGTTCAGGTAGATTATTAACAGCGGTTTTGGGGGAATGTTCTATTGTGGAAGTGGTAAAAGAATATGTAGGAGCACACATGTTGTAATAGCGAGCGGCGCGAAGTGCCGTTCGCAATGCGAGCTCTAACGACAACGCCTGGGCGAAGAGAAAATTCGGACTTACACATTGATCCAAACGATTTTTTTTCCGCAATAACTTTTGGACCCACAATGCATCGCTTGTTTAAGCTACGTTCTCGCGAGAATAACAACAACAGTTAACAAAAAATAAACTCGCCTTGATTTAATGGATATATTGCAGATATATAGGATCTCCCATGATTTGTAGTTGAATATGATTTTTATCCAACGAGTTGTGTGTTTTTTTTTATCCCCGAGCCTTGGCGAGGGGATAAAAACACACAACGAGTTGGATAAAAGTCATATCCAACTACAAATCATGGGAGATTCTTTTTATCCCATGTTTAATACTTCACAACCAATGTTTTACACTGTTTTATATAGGACTCCACTTTATTTTACTTCATCGCGCTAACGCAAAAACCATTGTGACGTCACAACTGTGGATTATGAAAAAATTATCCAATGAGTCATATCTACGGGATAAAGGGGTAAACATGGGATAAAAATAGTAAATAAAACGTTCTTCATTAAAGTCAATTTCAGGCTTCGGATTGGTAATGCAACTTTTAAAAATACGACGTCATGTGACGTCAAAGTTTAGACGCACCAAATGTCACGTGCAGTTTGACGATCGAGCCCGATCTAAATTAAACCTGAATAAATAGCTGCGCTCGCCCTAACGGTCGCACCGTCAACATATTATTTTGGGATGGCAGCTATATATACGGAGAAATAAACAGAGCACTTTTTTGTGTGCAATAAATATACGCTTTTTTTCAATGGGTGGTACTGCAGCTCTCTGGTTGTCCATCACAATTTTTTTTTAGACCAGCGAGCTACAGATCTGCAGCTACCAAAACCGTTGTTAATAGCCGTCCTGGGCTTGAGACCATCGAAAATTTCGCCTCTTTATACTGCCATTTTGGGTGCAAGGACAATTCGGTCCAATGCGCTTCGTACATGAGTTGTACAAACAGTAGTTAAAAGAGTATGTTAGGAACACATGGTTAGTAATAGTTTGATATATTTACAATAGCTGTGTTTTTCTACTAAGCCAACTGTGAAATTGATTTGAAAACCATTTTTGTGTATACTCACGCGTAATAATATACATGGAGAAACTCGCGCTAAAGTGACGAAACAATGAGGCTACAGAGACGTTAATTAAAATATGACGATATACGGCAGCGAGAAATTCAAACATAGTATATTTTTGGTGCATTTAAACATGTAAAATGTAAATATAAGGAATGTTTTTTTAAGCTTAGTGTGAATTATTGGTGTATAAATCACATAGACTTGCACGTAGGCATATTTTTCATGAAGCGCTAGCGCGCTTCATGAAATATGCCTACGTGACAAGTCTGTGTGATTTACACACCAGTAACTCACACAAAACTTAAAAACATTCCTTAAATATACGGGGAAATAAATCGAGAAACGGCGCACTTTTTTTGTGCGCAATATACACCTTTTTTCAGTTGATGGCACTGTATCCCTCTGGTCATCCATCCCAATTTTTCAAACCTAATAAAGATGTTGTACTTCACTGTACGTCAACACAGTGAACTGATTGGGAAATTGATGCTTTAATAGAATACTAGTATTATAGTTGTTCTCGGGCAGCTTAAGTTATTAGCCGATGGAAACGCGATGGAACTGTGTATATCAGAAGACATGCTATGTAAACCATATTTATTTACATTTAAAGGTTAAATATGTCATTCAATTTTTTTCTTTAAAAGATATAACAAAAGGCAACAATGTTGATATGAATTGTTACATTGATTGACAAATATAACATCATGGCAAGTATGGGTAACAGATAAAGACTAACGATCACATAGTCTCCCTTCTCTACCAATTACATTGCAAAATAACATATATTGCATACCATTTTCCAATATTCCAAATTACTACACAAATTTGCGAATATCATTTTAAATATTGATCAAAGCAAATAAATGTGCATGAAACTGAAATGAAACATACCAGAGTTTGTTTTTATTTCTTGTTTACATGAAAAAGGCAAGCTTAATTTGGTCGGCTTAGCTCGTTGTGAATTGCACATTCAATGAGTCTTGGTAAGCAGTGATTATAAAAGCAACATATCAAAAATAATAAAATCTATGTTCTTTAACGGAACATGTATGAACTAATATGGAATGCAATGAAGCTAAAGGTTTTGTAGCATAATGGCACGTATGAACACTAATAGATTCTTTGTTTCCTCGAAAGAAGTATTGATATGACATCAAAAACTACATTAGGCACTTGAATTACTTTTCTAAGTACATACCTAATGACATATATAACAAGATTTTGTAAATATAGCACTACAAATATTTCAATATGTGTATTTACAAGTCAGATCTGTTTCCAGTTACTAGTGAACTTGTCTATTTACTATACCCTTGGTTCAACTATACATGCACAAGCTTTGTCATTCTGTCTGTCAATGAATAAATCTCATCTAAATAGTAAAACCATGCTTTAACCCTAGGGGTCCCTTTTTCCTAGGATTTCGAATATAATTGCACATTCACAAAAATGTGTAATTACCACATATACTATTACTTCTATTGCGCCTCAATTTTCGTTTAAAATTGCCATAAAGTCAGTTGATATGCCAAGAAACGATAAAGATTACGTCATAAACACCGTGTTTATAGACGGCAGCGGTCCAGGATCATTGTACGCCTGTGAAAGGTCATGGTCACTAGTTATCATTCCGTTTACCGCCATACTTATGATGTCATCGCCGAAGTCGTGATGCACTACAAATTAAAAAAAAAAGAACTTTTTTGTAAGTACATAAAATAGGCATCTTTCAGCTGTTATAATAAAGAAATAATGGAGGAATAAAATTCATTCTCAATTACTGGTATGAGATTAATCTGATAAGGACTATGATTTCAAAATAAAATGCGTGCACCATATTCTGTCAAATAAAACTTAAAACTACATAGTACTAAATACAGATCTGTAGACCACTGCAAAGTTTTGTCTAAATTTTTCTCAAGCCATTTTTTTAAGAAACAAAGCTTGCATTCAATGGCCATTCAAGATTACCTCCAGGGCGAGGTGGACTGTGACAACTTGCTGGACTCGTGTTGTAGGTGCCATCTTTTGGCCGGATCGGTTTGTCTAGAATGTTCAACGGATCATCCGGGTACCTCTGCTGAATCACCGACACGTGCTCTACATGTGGCGGCTTTGAGGGCGGATTATAACTACTGCTGAAGAAATCTTTAAAAAAAAAAGAGAGAGATATTAAAATTTGTCATATACACGTTGAAAGTTTTAGTAAATGACCACGCAAAAACAGTTATTACCGGATGAAAAATTTGTACATACGTGTATTTTTTTTTTTTAAATATGCAGGGATTACATATTTGTAATCATAATGAATAGTCAAAGAAAAAAAAAGAAAAATTCTATACCTGAGCCAGAGTAAGGAAGACCACTGAATGCTTGGTTACTGGGAACCACATTAAATGCACTGCTTCCTTGACAATACACAGATGGAGAGGCAAAGGTAGGTTGAGACAAACTAGTGTAATTCGGATTATAATAGTCTGTACTGCTGTACTGAGTTTCCGGATGATAACTGGATTCCAGATCATTTTTCACGTTAGAATAAGGTGAGTGATTCATAGAAGGGTGTGTTCGGAAGGCACTCGGGTAATGTGGTCCATAGCTCCCAAAACTGTATGGTGACCCCGCCTGATAATCTCCTTGTCCTTTGTGAAATATTAATATGGATCGATTGAACACATTTATAAGTATTTCATGTCATGGATAAGTTAACTTAACCCTACTCACGTAAATTTTGCTGATACTTAGAAGAATATGTTACCGTTGAAGATTACAAATTATTTGACCTTATCCTGTTAACAAAATTCTATTCAATCTAAGTTATTTCCAGTACAAGAAAAATTTAACCATTCGGTGAATATGTGATTACTTTTTTTATGGAAAATACCCTTTAATGTACAATCTAACAATACTTACCAATGTAACTAAATGGAGCTGGGGCCACTAAAGACGGCTGTGAGGATCCTGGGTAGCTTATTACACTGTTTCTAGGAATGGGGTTGAAAATGATTGGTGATGTTCGATTTGGCTGTGGGTTCCCTATAACACTCTGAAAATATTCATTTAGTCAAGTTTAAAAATTAGTAACAATAGCTGAGAGATTATGAATTTGAATGCATCTATTGTAACAATTTTTGAGTACATTGCGGTTAATTTGTCAACAATGCCAAAAAAAATACATGTATTTGTCGATGTGGCCAAAACATATTCTGTTTACTGTATGGATAGAATTGACTTATATTTGAAATAAGAGTTTGATATGATGATGAAATTACCTGTGCCATAACAGCCATATTGTTGATGTGACTGGACATGTTAAATGATGACTCTTTTTCGTGATTAAAGGTATTATGGACTATTGGTGACTGTTGTCCATAAAACTCACGCTTTACATTATTATTATTAAAATTCCTGGAATTCAATTCTCTCTTTGTGGCAAGAAAGCAGCTACTAGACTGTGACGAGAGAACTGGCCGAGTACCGCCATCATCTAGAGAGGAGAGAAAGATCATCGAGTCCATTATGTATACTGAAAGTCTTAATTATACCTTAATTATGACGTCATGTGGTCACCTCGTGTTAAATTTACCTGTTTTGATGTGTTTTTCTAACAAGGACTGGATTTCCGTTTCCTTCTCTACGTGTAATTGCGTCTCCACAGCGAGCAAGACATACTCGTCCAGAAGCATTCGGATCAAATGGAATGAACCTATCCAGATATATATTCAAGGCATGACTTTTTTTACATTTTAAAATATTTTTGTTGAAACATTTAAATAATATAGTTTTCAACCAAATATACAGTTACTGCAAACTCTGTAGAGCATAAAGTATCGTAAATGCTTCTTAAATGCACTTCCAAGGGTATTTTTTAATTCTCTGGAATGTTATATACTAGCAAAGGTCTATAAAAGTTTATTCAATGGCTATATTTCGTTTTACCGAAAGCTTTTGCGTTGTTCAGAGTTAAATTATGCATCACTCTTGCTCCAAAGAACGACCAGTTCAGTAGAAAAGCGGACGCCCTCTTCTTAAATGATCGACCATTTTGTTTACTGGGCTAGAAATAAACATTTTATATTTTTGTTTTATTACATTGCCTAATTGTGCAATAAACCATTGTATGTAAATAAATGTAAATAAAGTAAATATTTTGTTAACTTAGGGCTGCATTTGCATTAAACCAAGTTTTATTATTATGATACAGCCGGAATCTAAGTACTGAGAGTGATGGTAGTGATATTACAATGAGTTATAATGTTTTCAAAACTGTTTATCTGGAACGTCAATACTAACCTTTATGACTTTATTTTCAACCACACTATCTAACCATTCTGTGAACGCCTCCACTGTGGCTTGCTTCCGTAATATTTCTTTGAATTCTCTTAAAACTGAAAGCCAAAAGTATTCAAAACATACTTATTAAAATCTTCAAAAGATAAAATGTTAAATAAAAGCAATACAAGTGTAATCTATATAAAATGTATACACATTTGTACTTTTTTTAAAAATGTCAAATGACAATACTGTTAAAGGGTATTAATACGGTTCATTATAACATGAACACTTAACTGAATAGATAAAAAAAAGTGAATGGACTTGGAGAAAAACTTACATTCTGCATTGAGTTCCAAATCGGATTCTCCACCATCATTGGTATTGTGAAGCGCATGCGTACCTATACTATTCAGATCAATGCTATCCACGTCAGCTATCATCTGATTGACCATTTGTGCGTCGTACAGCACAGGTCGAGCCGTCTGCAAAACAAATTCAATACTGGCCGGTGAGTACAATTAATGTTTGTATAAAGGTAACGTACCAGGTATTAATAATAGTTTATATATCACATTTTTCTCCAAATTTACCTGGGCAAGATGAAGAAATGAAGTCTGTCTCTTCATGGATTGTGCGAATCTCCTCGCCACCGGAAGTTTACTCTGTGAGAGGGCATCCGGGAGATTTTCCAAAGAAGTAGATACCCAGTTTTCCCAGTGTTTGGAGAAATTGCGTATATCACACAATAACCTGTGGTGAACATTAATGCGTATATCACACAATAATCAATGGTGGACACACAATAACCTGCAGGAATATTCGTTTATTTCTTCAGCTACATGTATCTATAACAGACTGGTTTTTCTTGTCTTAATAATTATGAAAATAATTTTCAATTCTTACGTTTCCGGCATTTCTTGCATTGTTGCAGGAATGAGGACCTCTGTCAATACCTGTCAAACAACAATATATATATATATATGACTGTACTATACATATGACCTTCACTGTAATGTATTTTCAAAGTTTATTATAGTAAACATAGGAAAGATTACATCTTCCACTTTTTTTATTTGAACCAGCATGTACATTAGAGAGGTGTACAGGAGAACAGCCAAAATGAATGCTATACCTTGTACAAAATACTGTCACAAACACATATGATATCCACGATCACTTCATTTTCTACCAAAGGTAGCAGGTGCTCGGGAAGCCCTTGCCAGAAGTGTAATAAGAAGTTTTGAATCTGGAAAAGAAAATGCAACGGATGAACCTTATTGAAAACAAGTATATGGATTCTTGAAATTTCCACAACAGTAAAAAAAAAACCTCAGTCATCGACTTTCCAGGAAAGTCGCAAGTTACTGAAATCATTCGATTCCATCAGCCTTCGACCCATTCTTAAAATCAGATTCAATCTAGTTTGGGAATTTCTGTATCGTTTTCTCTATTGCGTTACGTCCCATTTGCATGATATTTTCAATTCAGATCGATTTTATATCTTTAGATTATGGTTTGCTCTGTATTTTTTAACAAAGATTTTTTTCATTTCTTCTTCTTACAAAAAGGCTTGAAACAGCGATAAAAGTGATAAATGATAGCGTCACAGGTCAATAAAATGTCTGTAATCCAAGGGATTTCGGTGGGATTCGGTTATATCGAATTTCCATGGCTTATATTTTCAAACTTGCCAATAATGCGTTTTAGATGTGATTGGCAAAAGAATATTTAAGCTTATTATCATATTTGATCTTTGTTTTATGAAAATTTACAACTCCTTTATCAATTTCAGTCGGCATTTTTCAATACAAAAATGATCCTAACTTTGAAAGGTTAGGGAATCTGTAATCGGACATAAACACCTCTGTAATCACGGATCATTTTGTGAGCCGAAACAGGCCATTTTTGTTGAGGAAATTCATATTGACTGGGCTTACATGAAGTAAATGCAAATACCTCTACCTCATATTAACCGCCAAAAGCAAATATATTTTCAAACCAAGGGCTGCCAAAAAACTCACTCGATTGCCCATTGCACACATATGAATTATCAGTGTGCGTCTTCTTAGTTCGTTTTACAGAGTCAAGAAAGAGAAGCACTTAGATTTACTTTTCGAACATATTAACCAAGAGAGGAGATGGATGTCCATTCATTTATTTTTTCCCCCCGATTTTTAAAATGTCACCCACAGATTCCATGGATGGGCAACAATATCGTACAGGTGTTCAGGGTACACATATTAGTCGATATATAATTGTGTTTGTCAAAAATGGCTTTGCAAAACCCAATATATCAGACCCATTAATAATTCTGAGTTATGGAATGTTAGACATGTTTTTATTTTCTATAAGCTATTGTTTAATTTAATTCACCAAATAACTTCAGCGAATCAATGACTCATGTATATAACACTTTAGACTGTGCTTCACAGGTGTAGCTCACAATGAGCTGGATTTACTAAAACCCTAAACCTGCCCGGGGAGGCTGTAAAACTCCGGCTTATAATGTTGGGATTAAGGCTTGACAATCACTTCATTCAGAATATCTGGACTTCCTTTGATAAAGTTATCCTTGAAGAAGGGAATTAAGCGCTCTGTCGAAAGTCTTGATTTATCTATTGGAGTTTTCGATGTTTATGCGAGCTTCCCTGACTTGAAACGTGTACTCGCAATAATAGTTTTCAAACAATTACTTGAAGGAATTCTTGTGTTTTCTACAAAATAAATAAATATCAGAAGTTAACCAAGGACATAAACCGGAATTCTTAACACTAAAGGTTCCTGGGAAAAATGCGAAGTTAGTGCACTGAACATTTCTGTAATTCTTAGTAGAACATTTCAATGGATATGGTTCATAAAGCCGTAAAATTTGAAATACGTGATCCATATAATTTGAATGTATTTATTTGAATGAAATGTATTTTGATTAGCATCATTAACAACTCCTCAGCAAGCTTTTTGTTTCTTCCCTAAGAGTCTTAACCAGGGACATATAATCGTAAGACTGTTCCTGAACTTGGATTTGAATAATTGGAATAAGAAAGTGAAGTGACGGAAAGTCTTCCTTTTTCAATCATTTTTTAATGTGGGTCAGGATACCAACTTTGTTGTATTAAGATACCTCTGGCTGAACTAATGAAATTTTTCACTGATAAAAACTGCCTACAGATTATTGTTTAATTGTGCCGCTATCGAGTAAAGCCTGCAAAAATCATGTTTGAATTTCTCGATGTTGTACCGACGTTATCAATAGTTCTTTATTGATCTAGAGTTAATTCTGATAACGTCGTCACGTGATCTGTTGTATTTATTATCTGTGGCTAGCACAAAATTTAATTTACCGAACATTTAATCAAATTTTCGATATGAGAAAGGAAAAAAAGGAAATTTCTGTGAACAGCAATATTTGACAAAGAGAGGTCTTTTTATTAATTAGTGTTCTTATCAAGAGCATTGCTGTTGTACCATCTGTGGCTTGAGGTTGGGAGAAGGCAACTCTGCAGTATCAATGTGATAAACAGTTGCAAAATACAGGTTATCATACAACTTTCTAAACATTATCACTTCGTGACCTTAAGCTAGGAGTGTCTTCAGAGCATATATACAACATATATACAACAATTACAAAAAGAAGCAGACATTTTGTCACATTATGGTTATGCAGTTAGATACTCTGCTATAAAATAACAAGTTCCCTGCCAAACAAATATGGACACTTCCAAACAGGAGCTTGTATCAGCTGAATGTTTTTCAGTAATCAAAATGATTTTCCCTTTCAGGAATTCCTTTGGGTTTAAGACTTCAGAAGATATTCTTGTATTAAAATCCATTTGTATAATTGTGTTTGCTAGAATTAATCCCGCATAATAGGTAGTTGATACCTTGAAAGTGTAATTCATTCAGAGAGCTTAAGGCTGGCGATAGCCCCGTAATACCTACATCAAAGCTGCCGTCAGCTGAGACTCAGGCCGCTTGCATTTAGAGAATCATGCTGGACCCATAAGCGATAACAAACGATTCCTAATGTTCCTCTGTTTTACCAAACACGCTGCTTTTAAGGATAGATCATCTCAGATCAAAGCAGAAAATATGATTGTAATAAAGGTTTTGTCGTTCTAAGGCGTGAGATTTTTATAGTCGAAGTTTCATAAGTAGATATATTTTGTAATAATAAAAGACAACATACCTCTTCAAAGTTGGCGTTGATTGCTGTATCAAGGATACACTGGCAATGAGTCTTATACATCATTACAAATGTCTCTACCTACAAACCAAAGACGATTTAATTATTTTTTTAGGTTTTCAATATGTTTCAATAGTGCATATTACACATTCATCCATAATGCTTAAATTAAAAGTTTATATTAAGTATCTAGGCATTGCGTGATGCTATGGTTATGTCAAATGACAAATAAAAATTAAATATATTTAGGCTAACCTATGTTAAGACTTGGAAAGGTTATAGTTTAGGGTGATGTCATATTAATTAATAGTGGTGACCGTATACTAGTAGTTAGTTTGAACAGCTACATAAGATAGTGATCACGACTAAGTTCAACAAATTTTGACCTAAGAGACAAACAAGACATACAGAAGGAGTACCCCAAAAAAGTTTTAAATATTATCTTGCACTGAAGTATTTCATTGTGTTTCAGTGAAAAATAAACATGTCGGTCCTGCTGTGCGGAATGACATTTTCACCGCAGTAAACTCCAGCCGAGTTGATAAATTTCTAAATGATACATTTTTCCTTTTATAGCTCGTTCAACGGGCTACCCTTGAACAAATAGACTGTTGTTTACTCAGGACTGAATTCTCTGAGTAGCAAAGTTAGAGAAGAATAGGATAGGATTTGGTATCAATTAATAACAGAAACCTCAGAGCACAGTTTATCAGAGATTCAATAAACAGTTCAAGAAAAGTAATAAAATATATCACACTGAATAGCTCTCACAACGTTTACGTGCATAAATTTTCGTGGCATACAAAATTAACTTGACATAATAGTTCGCCGCAAGAGTAATTAATATTTATGCTGGAAATTGCACAACAATGGTTCTGGGTTTATATGCAGTAAATTAATGCCTGAGAGCCCCTGCATGCAAAAGAATTGAATTTTCGAGAGAACTGCACACATAAACATGTCAGATTACAATATATAAGTAAGAAATATACATTTTTTCAACACGATTCATTGACAACACGTGTTTACACTTCACCTTAATACTTTTGAACTGTTTAAATGTGCACCTTAAAACAGTATTTTACAATAAATGTGTAAACACCACCGGCAACTAACATTATTTATGTTTCTAAAATGTAGATCATTTCTAATGCCTCTTTTGAACTCTCTCTCAAAAAAAGTTACATTTAATTAATGTTAAAAGTTAAATTTAATCATATTTCAAAGCCTATTTATTTTCATTTTATACTCCTTAGTAACATATTTATGTATATTTATAACAGGCAATGTAAGGTCGTTACATTTGTTGATTTAGGTATGGGAAATCCAAAAATATATATAATACAGTTAACTCAAATTGGGTGATTAATACAGACGTATCAAGTAATATTTTATTTTACTTTATTATCGTGTTGTAAATTTTGCATTTAAAATATTTATTACCTCCACCTAGTAAATTAGAAATTTACAACATGATACTCATTCCATTGTCTGACTAAAACATTAATATCAATATTTTACAGCCTATTTACACTGTTTTATTAATAGTTGGATACACAGTCTATTTACACTATAGACACTATTCTGCTTTATTAAAACATGGATATCAAATCATATTCAAGTCTAAGTACTTATATAGCAAATTAAAGTAATCTTTTTACAATGTTTAATTGACATGTAGATACCAAATTATATTTTACAGCCTATTTCCCTTATTTGATTAATACAGAAATTACAAATAATATTTTACATTGATTAACATAAGGATTTCAAATAATTTCCACAATCTTTCTACACTATAATATTAATATGGACATCAGATAATATTTTACAGTTTATTTATATTGTTTGATTTAAATAATATCTCATAATATAATGATATTATTCCAATGTTTATGTTTTTTATTTGACATATTATATGTTAGTGATATTTTTTAGCTAATGGTATTCTAAATAAAAATATCTCATCTGTCACACAAATCTGATTAATCAATACATGTATCACCAGTTTCTTAACAAGGATATCTTATATATATTTTACAGTCTACAGTGGGCACTTACGTAATTTTCGTTTGACGTGAATGTTTATAAATATTTACATCCCATATATATCATTTACTCTTTATACATGGATATCAAAAGTATTTTTTTCTAATCTAATTATGTCTTTTAAATCATATAGTGTTATATTTAAATTATATACATGGATATTAACTACGATTGACAGCGTGATGACAAATGTTTGATTTTTCACACGATATTTAATACTGTATTTTAAATACTATGTCATAACAAGATTAAAATTTTACACAGACATATAAAATGAAACTACAATTTACATTTAATAGTTAATACGATTCATATTAATTATGAACAAGGTATTTAAAAGAAAATTTCATTGTCAAAACGTTTGCTACAGTCTTTGAATGCTGGAATCCTTAGCAGTAACTGGAGTTATACATTTCCCATAACTGAAGGAATACGTCAAGTAATTATATGAAATTTATAACTTTGTATGAAAAAGAAGATATAATTAAAATTCCTTGTGTATAAGGTACCCATTACTATTATTGGTTTGAAATATAGGAAAGCAGTGTATGTAGGGATTATTTTACTTTTCATTGTGTAAGGAAAGGGGTAAAATGAGATTCTGAGCATGGAATGCTGGCACTCGGCACACCTCGGCCGATTCGTACCACATCTAACCTCCGAGGTTCGAAAAAGGTGATGGAATCAGCCGAGGTTTGCCGAATGGGAATGCTGGGAGTAAGGTACCAGATTACACTAACCTTATCTTTGAGTATGGAGATGGGTAATATGAAATACTGAGCATTGGGGAATGCTGCGAGTAGATTACCAGTTAACGCTGACCTTTTCTCTGGGTATGGAGAGGGGTAGTATGAGATATTGAGCATTGGAGAATTCTGGAATTGGGTTACCAGTTTACACTTACCTTTTCTCTGGGTATGGAGAGGGGTAATATGAGATACTGAGCATTGGGGAATTCTGGGAGTAGAGTACCAGTCTTTGAACTGAGTGAATATTTTCTTGTAAATCCACCCTAAATCAAAAATAATACATTCATTAAATTTAAATGTATTTATTTCAGTGTCTAATCAATGCATAAATAAGAAGATTTGCTCAAGTAAAGCAAATAAACACACGTGTAAATTACCAAGGAAAAACAGTGCTAATCGACGTATCAAACATACAATAAAATTTTCAAGACAAAAATCTCGTTGTTACCAAATACTTATTTCAATGTAAGAAATAAATGCATAAAAACTAGAGATCAGAATAATAAAATTTATGGAAGGAAAAGCACTACTTGCTCTCAGAGTGACCTGTTATAAAAGGTTACAGAAAAACCAAAAATCGTCGAAAAATGGGAAAAAAAATACATGTTACTTTTTCTTTTTGTGGATCTTGTAACTGAGATTAGAAGTAATGGCGACTACGTGACGGCCATGTTAAAATTTCTGGTGTACCGATTGTTCCCAAATATTTTAAGCATACTCTCTTTCGAAGACGACAATTGCATCATAAATAAGGTTTTTATTTGATTTTCAATGGGATTGTGTAATCTATTTGACGGTCCAGAATTAGTATTACTCCACTTTTTACCACATCTAATGGCCATAGACCCCCTGCTTTGGAGACTAGTCAAGCATATTGTCATGACAATCAATTATTGTTTTATAACAGAAAACACTATTTGTTCACTTTCTACTATTGTTGAATCTTATTCTAAATGTATGCTAAATAATCAATTAAAATCAATAAGAAAATATGTATAAACAACTATTTTCTAGTACTTCTCTATAAACTGTACTTGTAGTATATGCATATAAGAATTTATTCTTGATAAAGCTATCAGCTCTTCAAAATTTTATTAAAGTATTAAGATTACCAAACAAAATATCAAAAGTTATTGTTTTCTAGCGCCTTGGTATCAGAAAGAATAAATACCCTAAACATTATTAAAAATGAAGTCCCAAAATGTAAATTAAAAGCTTTGTAATAATTCCAAAATAGTCTTTAAAACTCGCTATCGAGAACTCCTACTGGCATATTTATTAACAGGACTTAAATCTGCAACAACGATTGTTAAAATCCGCAAGGGTCTTAAATTGTCAGACCAAGTTAATAAGTGATGTAGAGAGAGGTGTTTTCCGACGCCTAACATTTTCCTCCCTAGTCTGGTCCCATCCTCTGAAACGAGGAAACATGAGCTGTATGTGTCTGTTTGAGCAAAGCTACAATTAGGCAATGTTTGACGGGGGATTCATTTCAAAGACATTCCGGGGTTGATGGCGACGAGCCGATGGTAATCACGGATTAAGCTACTGATACTCTCTCCAAATCAGCCAAAATGTAGATAAATGGATCAACAAATAACGAAATAAGAGAGTGAAGGATTTACCAGAGGGATGCAATTAAATTATCTAAGTATGCGGGTCTTTAAGGAAATCACTCTAATACGGTAGTATCTCTTCTAACAGGACCTCGTATACCTCTCTTCTTGGTCTTTGATGAGCCGTGTTTTAAGGATAGTTCTAAAAGGGGCGTAGTTTGATTTTTAAAAAAGGAACATATTATGTCGATAGGAAGTTTGGTTTCCGATTTGTGACAGATTAAAAGAAACTTGCAAACAAACAAGAGCCTTAATAACAAAATATGTGGATTTTTATACCAGTAAAATTCAGTTTATAAACACATACACCTATCATATTGTTCTCTATCAATTTTTAAGTTTTTTTTCTAATTTTAATATCTCTTGGACAAATGTCATATACACAAATTTAAACTGAAAATATTTAAATTGGTAGAGGACACTGTTCATAATTGTAGGAAATACACTCTAAACTTGCAACTAAGATTTAAAAAGAAAAAAATCTTGTGCAGCAGTTCTGAGTAAATGGAAAAAAGAGGGATATCCGAGTAAGCGTCACTGAACGGACCTTGCTGTTCTTAACATAACAATAACAACTTGGGTATAGTTGACTTTAAGTATCTTCGACAAATCGAACACTGTTCTATGTGACTATCAATTTTTCGATTGGTTTTACCTTTGAAATACAGTGGAAATATCTGAGTGGCAGCCATTTTACATCACTGTTTATGCACAAAGGCATAAAAATACTTCGGACTGCATATTTCTTTGAGACACATGTATGGGATTACTAGTTTATAAAGATATATATATTTAGATGTAGGGATTTTTTTATTATAAGAAATGTTTATTAATGAGAGATAGGCGACGTGTTTGTTGCATATCTTTTAGATTTGTCAGCAAATATTAAAGGAGATGGGGTCTCCTAATTTGTTTAACCAAACGTTCTTCGCCAAACACGGTTTCCAATAAAAATGCAAGGCATTTCGAATTTATCAAAGCAAAGAAATTTTCGTTTTCCCAAACACAAATAAACAGGATGAGTTGGATACATCGGGTATCAATTCTACACGTAATTTGGATGATAAAGTTTCAATATATCACGAGATAACGCGAGATTTCATCATTAGCAGTGACTTTGATGCGGTCATTTTCGAGTGGGCTTTTAGAGGATAAGAGATAACTTCAATTTGTTTGATACAGTTTCGTATACGGAATGCCTTTTAAGGATGTTGCCAACCCAGAGCGACAGTCCCGCAGCTATTTTTAGTGTAAAACATTTTTTTTCCCAAAAAGGTTGTCACTAACTTCTTTGTTCTTAATGTAACTCTTCTTAATGAAATTAATTTTTAGGCATTAAAAAGTAAAAGTTACTCACCTCATTCTTAAGTTTACAACCAGAGAACCTGCAAAAGAAACAGATATCTTCAATAAATACATACGTTAAAAAATAAATTTTTACTTTTAAAAAGAAAAAAAATTATTCAAATAATCATAAGGAAGTAAAACTGAGGCTCGTGATTGTGGGAAGTCTCTTCTATATACAATGTATTTTTTGCACACTGGTATATTTGGTTTAGCTTGTATATTTTTTAAGGAATAGATTTTTGTTCAAATTTGATAATTCTGGAAACAAATGACCTTAATTGCCAATACATGTCAACTTAGCCATATCTGTCTGGTCTATTAATTAAGTACAATTGTATATTTCTATTATAATGATTTCAGTAGTGACGTTAGTTAACTCAAAATAGCATCATTAAACACCTGTCTCGGGAAATATCCATTATGCATAAACTATTTCTAAACAACATTAAAGTAGTTCATACATGGCTATGATATTCTATTGTACTTGACAATATATATTATGTAAATCAAACTGCTGAAGAGGCAACAGATGAAATAGTGGGACAGTCATAAATATCCAATTTTTTTCTTTTTTAAAAAGTACTTATCACGATGTTGATAAGGTGTTCTGAAAGCAGTTTTTGCGCCAAGCGCAGCCGTAAATTGCGGGTTTTAGTCCACACAATCATCTTCACATTTCGGTACGCTATGTAAAGTGGTATAAATATCTCACCAAAGGCGCAAAAAGGTCATGCATATTTGATTATGTAACACTTTTAAAAAATATAATAGGCTCTAAAAAGGATAGAACGTGACTAATAGTAAATATGTAGCTTGTAATATAGCGCAAATGGCTTTGTAGGGAGGTGTTGTGTAAATAGTAAGACCATTCTGAGTGTGTATATTCTTGCAGTGGTGCACACTTAAACTCAAATTTATGACGGCCACCAAAGAATTAATATAAGTGTAGAAATAACGCCTTTTAAGTGACTCTAACGGCTGTTGTGTAATAGTAAACAAGTCATTTTTTGTGTTTGAGTTTCAAGTTCCACGGCCATATACATGCCATTATTAAGTATTTTTCTCGCCTGTTCTCAAAGTTGAACAGCGACCTGAGGGTCAAGTCTGAGAATTTGATAAATGGGGGACGTCTAAAAAAGTTACCAATTCTGGCACCTTTGGTGTTGTAAGCATGCACCTTTTGCCAAAAGAAAGTCGGGAGATTTTTTCTTTGCTACTCTTTAAAAATATTTCTGCATATCAATAGTTCGATTAGCAGAACACTCGGTCGAAGGACGATGCCTTTTGTATGATTAATTGTTGTAGGTTTATTTTGATTAATATAAAGTTTTGCAATTTGATTCGACAGAATGGGATTATTGTGAATAAAAATCGTCTTGAAAAATAAATTCAATCCACAGAGAGTCAATAACACCCAATATAAACGTGGGCATTCCTATCCACTCACGATGAAACTTGGATTTATCAGAACAGATTTGTTTATTTTCTGTTTTACTATCTAGTCTTTTAAAAATTTCTCTACTACGGTCTTTTTTCATCTTTGATTCTCTTCTTTTAAGTTCAATATTTACATTTGTTTCTTTAAATCGATAGAAGCTTGAAGTATTTTGAAACATAACTCTGGATACAATGGGCCTATTCTATATCAACTGTACCAAATAATAAAATAAATAGGATAGGTTTATTTCTAATAATTAATTATCTTCATAAACGATTTCAATTACCATTTTAAAAATAATTTTTCTTTCACAAAATATCGATTTTATGTTCTACATGTAGATGTTTAAAAACATTTTAACTGAAAATTACTATAACTTTCTTGCCAATTTTGAATTGAGCGCGTAAAAGGGAGATAAATAAGAAATGGCCAACATATTTTCCCACTGTAATTGATAAACATAAGAAAAAATGTTTCTGTGAAACAGAAAACTACGAATGTCGTTCTCTTCTTTTTTAGGTGACACCTTTACATTCTTTTTCAGTATTTTTATAAAATAATTAATTTGACAATGTACATAAAGAGAGTTATCAATCTTAATATAATCTTACCTCGTAAGGCCCTTTCCTGTATACACAGAATGATAATACTGACTGGTTTCCCGAATACCAATGCCATAGTAATGGTACCTGAAAATTTTAATTTTGTTCTAGAATCTATGTGAATATAAAATTAAGAGAAAAGTAAAACGGCTTTGTAAATTAGTTAACTTACTTCGAATGTCCTCGAGTCCCTAGGCGTCTTGTTGTGAGGTGTGGAAATTTCTGACGGATAGTCTATTTTCAAAAATAATATATATTTTTTGAATATGCCAAAGCTTAATACTATTAATGAATTTAAACTGCTTAATCAATAGCTTTTAATGTAAATTCAGTTAAACTGAAAGGTAAGAATATTTTGAATCTGATCGATCGAGTTTCCCTCATTTTTTGTGACGAAAAAAAAAATACTTTTTTCATAAACACAAATATAAACACACAAAAAACTGTCACATTCTAATCCATTTTGAAACTCTTAAACATACCACAATAACATTATTTATTCTGGTAGTAATTAGAAAAATGTATATTATAAAAATCTTAATTTTAAAAAGTTTTATCTATTTTAAATGGTGCAGATGAATGAGTAATTTTTACAAACATTTTTAAGTAGCATAATTATTTTTTATTCTTTGCAAATTTCTTTTTCTTGAATATTTTTCACATTCTTCCAATAAGTTTCTTTATAATGCCGTGTTTTTTAAAAATGTATTGTATTAATACTTTACTTAATTAATACAGTGTCTTTTATGTCCTCTTATTCCTCTGGAAGAATCTTACCTTTCCAAAAGTTGCCGCACATGCCGGTTCTAGCGACTTTTGGCGGCAGAAGTCGAGGTAATGTGCGTATAGAATGCATCGTGGTAAACATACCCCTTCACAAATACAATAGTTTTCTTCAAGCCTGGAAATAAATTGAAGAAAACATGGTTTTCACAATGATATGGCTTATAAAATACCCAAAACACAAAAGATATATGAGAAAAATTTAAAATACATTTATTAATCTTGAACCATAAATTTTATTTATTTATCATTTTTCATTTATCTATTTATTCATTTATTAGTTGAAATATTGTTTATCTAATGTAATTGAAATGCTTTAACATTTCTTATTTAATCATAACACGATTATCCTTGAAGACAGGCTTCAAATAATCATTAGTTCATATTTATAATTTTTGCTATCTGTTTTACGAAACAAGTCGCTTTTTGTGGGCAAAGAAGATGCACTACTTACTTTCTTCAGTTTCGCACAATTAACGAAAATTTATTGATTTGCTTTAAATTAAAGATGGGAAACATTTGAAAAATGTCCGTCAAAAGTACTGAGTTCGTATGATTTTGTTTTTGTTTTTATCTGATTTTTTAAATTCATGTAGATCAAATTGCTTTCAACTGTTCTATTCCTCTTTCTTGCTATCCCCTCCACCTCCCAACTCATAAAATAACTACACGTTTTGTATTCATTTATTTATGAGAGCATTAATTTAAAAAAAAATCGTGTTACAAAATACTGAATATTTGGTTTGTACTTGCTGGCATTGAAGAGTAATTACTATCACGCAACTTACAAAAAACTTGCAATAATTCTACATACACACGTACACTCATTACCAAATCAATGTGAAATTGAAAATGTACTACCGATTTTCAAATGTGCTACACTTACTTCAGTATAATCTAAAGATAGGTTGAGGAGTTTGTGTCACAAAAATGTAAAATTCAATATTGTAAACTGCAGAAGTAGGTGTTTTACAACACATACAAGCTACAGTGTATGATATTGTCTCACTCATAACCAACTATTCATTTATACTCATTGACAGTCGGAATTCTTATCAATTACCAGTAGAAGATACATGAAAGCCCTCTGCTTTTTTTTAAGGGAGAATTTACCAAATACTTAACAAATGAACTCGGTGAAATCGCTAATTTTCGCGGAGATTTAATTTTCGTTGTTTTGTGGAATAAAGAGACCCACAAATTCCTGTCCTCCATGAAATGTTAAAACTTCATACAAAAGCATCATGTTTCCTCTTTAACCACAAAATTTATTTCCCACATCCACTTTTTTCTTTAAAACGTGTAAATTTTATCTCCGATTTTACAGTTTATAAAACATCAGGTAAAAAAAAAAATTACGTGGTAAGAAGAATTATAATGTAAACATTGTACATTTTTCATGTTGCAAAATTAAAGCTGAAATAAATTTAGGACTTTAATAAAGCTTCAATAAGCAATAGATTTATGTATATTGTTTGTGTACTGCCTCTGAAATGGTTAGTTTCAATCCTCAAAGAAGTAAGTGGATGTCAAATACAAAATAAAAAATGACGTTAGAATGAAAATAACTTAACCTATCCTAAATCAACCTCAGATTATAACTTCAATCATTTCATTTTGTTTGAAAACATATCTATGTAGCTATATCTATTTATTAGATGTTTAAAATCTCTACAGACTTTCAGCAAATAGTTTCCAAATATTGTCAATAGTATTACAATGTCTGTAAACAAAGCAGGAATAGAGATGATGGCCTTAAGTTAGAATGTTCGTTAAAAGTTAGTATCTATAAAGAAAGATAGAGGATTAAACGAGAATTATTGCCAGTGTGGACTCTTAAGCACGGTCTCTGAGGGTGGTAAAGTGACGCTAGTCAAAAAATGTAGATGTTGTCCGATAGATGAAATAAAAGGAATGAAAAGAAGGGGTATATATTAGATCATACAGCAAAGAGATTAAACATAAAAATTCCATCTCATCTACTAAGAGACACACTCACTCTTAGATATCTTAAACATCAAATGAAAGATTTTAAAATTAATCTTCAAAAAGGCTCCATCCTCGGGTTTTATTTGGATAAAAAAAAAATAAAATAAAAAGCCAAAGGAAAATAATTCAAGAAAGGAAACATTCTCCGGAAGACTGACGGCACTGGTAGTAGGACACTTCACACCTCGTCCCCTGTAAACACATAGAAACCCCGACCGCCATTCCGGTACTGTGCAGACGACCACTGCCTGTCATTCCTAAGATTCGCAGACGACACGTGGAGAGCGCCAAATGTTGTGACGACTGAAACATTAAGGGTGACACTTTCTCTGGATTAATGGTGCACCGTTAGAAAGTTAAATAGACGATCCCTACAAGAAGGGATGACATATTAATATACACCCCAGTAATAAATTGAACCCAGTTTGACTCTACTTGTGTGTTACTGAACTTTCTCCACTTTGAAAGACTATATAGGGATATGCTACAAGGGTAACGGATAAATTTCAGAACTATTTCTTACATCCATCAAATGAACTAAGAGTTTTCAGATTCACTATGTTGATTTTTTAATTAACGTTTGAGAATAAAATATGATAATTACGTGTTTAAGGTAAAAACAAACAAACAAACAAAAAAAAACCCCAAAAAACAAAACACCCCCCCCCCCATTTTTATGCTGTATGTATTGTTCAAATTCTAAAAATGCGGGCTTCATATTTTAGCCGCTTTGGCACAGACAACGATGCACTAAATAAATTTAAGAACACCGTAAATAAATCATAATTGAATACACTAAATGGCGAGGACATTTGTAGCGCTAATTCATGATATCGCCAACCTCTCCATACCAAGTCTGAATACGTTAATTTATGTACATGTACAGTATTTTTTTGTGATACACAACTTACTTCATTTGCCTTCATGTTTGCTTAATCTTATTTTCCTTTCTACCATATTTCATTTCTTAAATAAAGTCTGCAACATGTCTACTTTGTGACATTCCCTTACTCGACTACAAGACGACAAAACTGAAATATACTATGTTTTTAAACATGAAATTATGCTTATAGCCACTGTCTTTTGTGATCTTCATTACTCACACATGTAACACAGAACACCATAAACGCCTTAACATATATATTAATTATATATGTAAGTAATAGTATAGATAAAAGGAGACATGTCTTAATACACGTCTAAGCACGTAGTTCTCTACAGCAGAGTTTTCTCTCTCTAAATTTTGTGTATTCTTGACTTATCACTTTTCTGCTACAAATGAAAACCAGTAATTAATTTACAGTCAATATTGACATATCACTTTCTTTTTAAACATTCTACACTAGTGTATAAATATTTGAAAATGGTGTCAAAAGATTCTTTAATGAACACTTTCCCAATAATATATGTTTAATCTAGGCACTATTACATAATTAGAATTTAATACGTTCTTGAAAAGTGTGCAGATGTCATTTTAATTGAAATCAAAATTTACTACGTATTGCTATTGATTTCATAACAAATCGACTATGGAATTTTTGAAAATCCTCTTTTGCACTCTGTGCCATCTTTGGTGTTCTTTCCAATATTTAAAAAAAATGTTTTAATAGTCATTTATTCATTTTATTTTAGTTACTTTTAGAGAGAGAGAGAGAAAGAGAAGGGGGATGACAGAACAGGACAGAAATTGAAGAATAAAAAAATCAAGCTATATTCTGTTTGATTGTAGCAATTTAATTTTTAATTTGTGTCTCTGATTTCAACACTGCAAATGATTTCTTTTCTCTAGAAACGAAGATGACTCGATAACTCTCGATTCCCACCTACCGGTACGTTTTATCCCCATCTAATTCAGTATAAATGTAATTTTGGCCATTAAAACTTTTTTGAAGGCAAAAAATGGTTCATAAGTAATTGATTTATAATTTTAAAACCAGCGTCAAAAAGTTAATTCTCTTTTTCAAAACTCTTTTACTCTTTTCATAAGGGGGGGGGGGAATTTTATCCATTGAAATCAGGCTTTAAAACATCACAAAAATGTCAAATATGCACGGAAATGGATAAATTACCCTTAAACCTTTCCGTATGTTAAAATTGTGTAAAATTCAAAGTATAAGATTGATAAAGTACATTTTTTAAATTTTCTATTTCATTCGAAATTGGTTATACAATGATCATTTTTACTGTTTTTTGTCTGTAAACATATCCCCCCCCCCCCCCCCTGTGAAACACAAAAAGCTTTGGTATGACTTTGTGAAATAACAATCCACATTACCTGTAAAAAGGAATTTTTTCACGGGGGAAAGATGTTTTAGAAATATTTTCCGTTTTCTATTGATTTCTATAGTGAAAAGCACAAGTTTTACCAAAATTATAGAGCTATCTCTCTTTGTTTTCCCAAATAATAATTTTTTGTGAAAATTCATAGAGATATCTATATAAGTATGAAAATCATTCAAATGTATCAACTTTGGAAAATTGACTTGGAGGTAGGTGGGAGAACAATACTATCGTTCGCAGTTCAGTATTTAGAGTTAAACAAACTTTTCTGCTGAAAATTCTTTTGGCAAAAATCATTCTATGACTTAAAAAAATGTGATATTCTTGGGGTTCGAACCCATGCGATAAAAATCCTGATTATCAATTTCTCTTCGAGACTAACACACTAACCACTACGCTATACCGCTCATTACAAAAAATAAGGCATTTAAATCATATTTCTTATAGGACCCTTGACTAAATGGACTTCAAATATTTCTAGGAAAGAAACGAATGTTGTGTCATAAAAGTGTGTTTTTAAGGTATTGTGGGTCTTTGCTCCATGTTTTTGTTAAGTGTAGAATGTAATTTTATGCATACTTTGGGTATAATCTTTTCAAAAAAAAAAAAAGAAAAAAAATTAGAGCGAAGACCCACCCATATGGAAAAAAAAAAGAGTTTTAGTATGAAGAATTGATCATTTTTGCCCTCTTTGCTGTATGTATGCTATATCATATAGACGAATAATTTCAATTTTTGTGAGATTGTTTCGATTTGTGGAGAATTTACATAAAGTATACGTTAATGTTTAATGACATATCAAAGAATTTTTTGTCATAATTGAGATTTATTTTTTTCAATTTTTTTTTT